ATTTATTTTTAAGATGGTATTTAAAACATAAAGAATATATATATATATAAGTTTTTATTTTTATGTATACAAATATATTTGAAATTTTATATATTCAAATTTATTATTGATGAAATTGTACTAATCACATATTTACCACTTTTGTTTATTTATTTTAAAAATATTACATAATATTAACAATTTTGTTTTAAACATTAGTTTTATATGAGTTATTACAAATTTTATTTTTTAATTAAAATTATGTATTCTCAAATATTTTTATGTGACTAATTAAATTATTTGTTATTATATATTGATTTTTTAGTTAATGTATTATACTTTAGTTTTGTGCTTTTTCACTATAAAATCAAACATAAAATGATGCAACCAACATTGTTTGATTTATTTGGTTCTATATAAAAGTAAATATGTTAATTTTAAAAATAATTGAACTGTACTCTTTAATTTCAAAATTAATTACGCAAAAATAGATGAAATCAGACCTAGATTAAATTGGGTTGTACTATCTGGATTTTATGGAAATCTTATTGTTTGGATTTATATTGTTTTCCGTTAGAAAAATCATATATGAACAAATCAAGGATATTTTATTAAATTTTTAGTTAGTGGTCTTATATATATTTTTTATTTTAGATAAATTAATGATTTTATTTTAATAGAGTAGATTAAAGATAACAAATAAAAAATCTAGCTATGTCCACATTTGTTTTTGTAGTGTCAAGAATAGGATGATTATTAGGTTATTGGTTCATCGATTCAAGAACTTTCTATAGTGCTATGCATAAATTATTTAGCGAGCCTAGACATTATCTGCTGTAGGTCATACTACTCATTCAAGATCATGTGCATAGTGGAGTCTCATGGAGAGTTTAAAAGGAACCACTCACTATTTTTTATGTTCTGCATCATTGTAAATCCCTCTTTTCGTATTATAAGACTAATGTATTATACAAGTTTACTTTCATGAGTTCGTCCTGGGCCTCCTGAATATAAGAAACTATATATATTTTCCAGTTTTCAACACGTCTCATAGTAATACTATTCAGTCTTGATTCACCGATGTTCATTTCTTACAGTTAATCACCATAATCTAGAAAAAGAAGAAGAAAATTTCCATAATCACCGGCGAAAAGATGATGATTAGAAGTTTTATTTTTTGCTTAACACGATGATGAGAAGTTGTGTAGATACTTTTTTGTTGGCTCCACATGTATAATGTATTCACACTCTTGCATCATATGAAAGTTACATATATAATATCTCTGCCCAAAAGATTCTAAAGTAATTTTCAATTAGGTACGAACGTATACACATTCTTGTTCATTATTCCAGTGATTAATACAACAATTATTACGATCATATCACCGAAATTTTAATAGTTCATTAGAGAATGTATGCTCTTAGAGCGCCCTCAACGCAATGGCTCTTAACCAAAAAAAAAGAATAAAAATATCATGGGTCCTATTTAAATTTCAAGAACTTATCTTTTCGAGTGTTCTTAGGATTGGTTTTTAACTATTTACGGACTTTATTGATATATAGTGGTTCGCGATTAGTTCATTTTAACTTTTTTTAAGACAAAAATAAAAAATAAAAAAATTCTAAAAACTTATGTTAATTTTTTTTGGGTTAATGATGCTGTGTAAAGTCAAAGTCGCTCTCACAAGCTATATTTCAAGAAATTATACTTTCTTTTTTTTTCTTTCTCTTTTGTATCCTTTACCTACATGTACACGTACATGTAAATTTCAAGAAGTTATATTTACACTCTCAATATGTACGTATAAGTTTTGGTTTTGTCTAAACTATACCATACTACCTGCGATCCAATTACAATATGAAATTTCGACTTTTCTTAGAGCTAAAATAAATTTTCTAAAATTACAAGTTAAAATATACTTCCAACAGTAAAAAAACGTACCTAGTACAATTATAAAACACTATTATTGAACGAATAAGGACATATAAATGATCGAATCTTGTTTCTTGTTTCCCCCCTTCCCATGTGACGTGAACAATCAATCTTTCTCACTCATTTTCTTTCTCTCTTTCGAAGTTTGGAGTATTATATAACAAGGAAATCCAAGACACCTCTTCCCACACCAATCACTCACTAGCAAATACATATAATCTCACTCTCAAATCAAATGAACTGAGAGAAAATGGCTTTCTCTCCCCAAGAAAAATCTTTCCTCTTCTTCTTATTTTTCCTATGCCTCTCCACAGTCTCTGCTTACACCAACACAAGCAGCGACAACGGTGCTGAAGCAGTAAGAAGGGAGCTACGTTCTCATCGGAGATGCAACTGGTTTAGAGGGAATTGGGTTTATGATGTAAAGTACCCACTTTACGATCCTTATAAATGTCCGTTCATAGATCCACAGTTTAACTGCAAGAAGTATGGTCGTCCCGACAATCTTTACCTCAAGTATCGATGGCAACCTTCTTCTTGTTCTCTCCCCAGGTACTACTACACTCCTCTTTACATTCTTCTGCGTTTTGGTTTTAATTCAATATCAACGCTATATTTGTCAGATTCAATGGGTTGTATTTCCTGAGGAAGATGAGAGGGAAGAAGATAATGTTCGTTGGAGATTCACTAAGCACAAACATGTGGCAGTCTCTAGCTTGTCTAATTCATGCTTGGGTTCCTAACACTCGTTACACTCTTCTTCGCCAAAAGGGTCTCGCTTCACTCACCTTTGAGGTTTTGTTCATTTTTATTATCTTTCTTCTAAACATTAGTTTATTACTCATTTAATAAATTTAATAAAATATTTATTCCATTTAGAATAAAGTCGTTGAGGTATAATTCTTTTCCTAACGCTCATTTAGGATAAAGAAAATGATGAAAAAGTGAAATAAAGTTTTTTCTTTGTCTCTTATCTTTCCTGATATTGTTTTTATTTGTCCCTTTTGATTTGATATAAATATGACGCTTTGTTATAGCTCTTTATTCATTCTTCTTACAAAAATAGAATTAGGGCAAGAGAACGAATATATCATTTGAGAGATAAACATGATTTATGGCCTATTTCCAAAAAAAAAAAAAAAAGAACCTCACGGACTATCATGTCATGTTATGATCATGAGCCACGCAAAACATATAGTTGAATTCTGTAATAATAATTTTAGTCATGGGTTAAGATATCACAAATACAAATGATAATATACAATAAGGTTGAAATTTTATTATATATAGTAAAAATGATTAGAAAGTGGTACGGCTGTAGGAATACGGAGTGACGTTGAAGCTATACAGAACACAGTTTCTAGTGGATTTAGATTCGGAGAAAGTTGGGAGAGTGCTTAAGCTGGATTCGATTAAACAAGGCAGACTGTGGAGAGGCATGGACGTCTTGGTTTTCAACAGCTGGCATTGGTGGACACACACCGGTCACATCCAACCGTACGCTTTCTTTTTGCTTTGTTTGTGTCCTTTCGAGTTCTTTTTTTACTCATTGATGACGTCTACATGTGTGTTTGTGTGGACCAGGTGGGATTACATGGAAGATAGGAAGAGATTATACAAAGACATGAACAGGCTGGTCGCTTATTACAAAGGTATGACCACGTGGTCTCGATGGGTTAATGCTTTTGTCGATCCGTCTAAGACCAAAGTCTTCTTCAATGGCATTTCTCCTACTCACTACGAGTAAGTAAACAAGCAAACAAACCCTTTTCTTCCTTCAATTTAATCTTTATTGTTTTATTAATTGATTTAGTTCACAAAGGTCTTGTGATGCTAAATTCACCAAGGAGTGGGTGTTAATGCTAAACATTTGCTAGGCATTACCTTGATAGCATTTTGGCAGTGCCACCTAATCAGAGGGACACATTCTGTCCTCTCATATCTAATAGTTAAAGGGTTCAATTTTTTATAAACATATTAAAAAAAAAAAATTAAAAGATCCAAAATATTTTATTTAGTATAAGAAAAGTTATTTGAAACTTTAATTAAACATAAATTTTAAGAGGCAAATATCTTTTTTACTCTAAAGACCCATAAAAATGTTGCTGCATTTTCATATCATACATCATTATCTAGGTAATTGTGGTAATGCTATTTTAAAACATTAGCTAGGCATTAATAATACACTTTGTTTGCAGGGGAAAGGATTGGGGAGAACCAATGAAGACATGTAAGAGTCAGACGCAGCCATTCTACGGGAGGAAGTATCCAGGAGGTATACCAATGGCTTGGATAGTTTTAACCAAAGTGATGAGGAGATTGAAGAAACCGGTCCATTGGCTCGACATAACCGGTCTGTCTCAGCTTCGAAAAGATGCTCATCCTTCTGCTTTCAGTGGGAACCATCCCGGTAATGACTGTAGTCATTGGTGTCTTCCTGGTTTACCTGATACTTGGAACATTCTCTTTTACTCTAAACTTTTCTCTTGAAACCTCTCAATTTTCTTTTTACCAATTTCTAAGTTGCTCAATAACTACCTATATTTTTTTAGTTAATCTTGTATTGTGGCCGCTTGATTCTTGAATAAAATAACGTTTTAGATACCAACGTAACTATGCACAAAAACTATGTGAAATGTAACAAAAACAGAGCGAAATGCTCAATAGGAACTTTCCAAGTTACTATTGGGCCTACAAGAAACAAATGGGCCTACTTGATAACTAAAGAGCCTTGATCTCGTAGTTGGAACATGGAACCGACTAATCTGAATTAACCGGTAAGGCAAGACGGCAAGAAGCTCCAGACATCAACACGTGTAATAGTACGGAACGACGCGTGTGGAAAACCGAGATGATTGGCTTAGTTAAACAATTAAAGTTTGATCTCTTCACACAAGCTGAGTCATCGTATGTTCTTACACGTATGCATTAGCCTGCGCAACACGTCACACACCGCCTATAATATTTCCCTTTAGGTTTTAAGTGTCTCTTGTATTATAAAAGCAAGAAAGATAAAAGCTCCATAAGAATCATCCGAGAGATTGAAGAAAAAGAAGAAAACGATATCAAAAATCTTGTAGTAATCACAATGGCGTCAGAGCAAGCAAGAAGGGAGAACGTGGTGAAGGAAAGAGAAGTTAAAGTGGAGAAAGACAGAGTCCCGAAGATGACGAGTCATTTCGAGTCAATGGCTGAGAAAAGCAAAGATTCCGACACCACACAGAAGCACCAGGAGACAACAACACACTTTGTGTCGCTTTCGGACAAAGGAAGGGTGTCTGATGAAGATTCGAAGATGAAGAGGACTCAGATGCCTCAAACGGTCGGAAAGTTCGTTGTGAGCAGTGGTGAGAAAGGAGAGGCGGGGAAGAAGGAGGAGCAAGAGAGGGCTTCACTAGAGGACATTCAAGGGTTTAGAGCCAATGCTCAGCAACAATCAATGAATACGATCCGAGCAGCGGAGGAACGTTACAACAAGGCTAAGGAGGGTTTGAGCCATGGTGGACAAGGAGGGCAACAAGCGGAGGGAAGAGGAAGAGAGATTGGTGTACACGTTACTCACGTTGGGACAGAGAAAGGGGGAAACGTGAAGGACACGGCAAGTGATAAGACTCAGAGAGCTTCTGAGTACGCGAGGGAGAAGGCAAGGGAAGCAGGACACATGGGAGCTCAGAAAGGGCAAGAGACTAAGGAGCAAGCTGGTAGAGCTAAAGATTACACTATGGAGAAAGGAGGAAACGTGAAGGACACGGCAAGTGAGAAGACTCAGAGGGCTTCTGAGTACGCAAGGGAGAAGGCAAGGGAAGCTGGACACGTGGGAGCTCAAAAAGGGCAAGAGGCGAAGGAACAAGCTGCAAGAGCTAAAGACTACACTATGGAGAAAGCTGGTGAAGCTAAAGACACAGCAGCAGAGAAAGCTCAGAGAGCTTCTCAGTATGTAACTGAGAAAGGAAGAGAAACAGGCAACACTGCAGCTGAACAAGCTGCAAGAGCTAAAGACTTAGCTGTACAGAAAGCTGCTGAAGCTAAGGATATTGCGGCTGAAAAGGCTCAAAGAGCTTCTCAGTATATGGCCGAGACAGGAAACACTGCAGCTGAAAAGGCTGCAAGAGCCAAAGACTACACTCTACAGAAGGCTCTTGAAGCTAAAGACATTGCAGCTGAGAAAGCTCAGAGAGCTTCTCAGTATGTAGCCGAGAAAGGGAAGGAGACAGGGAACGTTGCTGCTGAGAAAGGACAAGTAGCCAAAGAGCAGACGGTTTCAGTGGCGGCAAAAGCCAAAGACTACACAGTTCAAAAGGCAGGTGAAGCTGTGGAGATGAGTAAAGAAGCGGCTGAGTATGCAAAAGAGACGGTGGTGGAAGGAGGAAAAGGAGCTGCACATTACGCTGGAGTGGCGGCTGAGAAAGCTGCTGCTGTTGGGTGGACAGCAGCGCATTTCACCACGGAGAAGGTTGTGGAAGGGACAAAAGCTGTTGCTGGTACTGTGGAAGGAGCGGTTGGTTATGTAGGGCACAAGGCGGCAGAAGTGGGTTCTAAGACGGTGGATTTGACTAAGGAGAAAGCTGCAGCGGCTGCTGAAACGGTGGTTGAATACACAGCGAGGAAGAAAGAGGAAGCTCAACACAGAGACCAAGAGATGCATCAGGTACTTCACAACTTAAACTAGACTCATTTGATTATATTATTATGTTGTTACGTGTGGCTCAAGAATCTGTTTGTTTTGAGGGAGGTGAGGAAGAGAAGCAACCAAGGAGAGGCTATGAAGAGGAGTACAGAGGAGAAAGAGGGAGTGAGGAAGATGTGTTTGGGTATGGAACAAAAGGAATCTCCGGAGAAGGGAGGAGAGACATCAGGGAGGAAGATGTGTTCGGATATGGAACACAAGGAGTCTCCAGAGATGTTGGAGAGGAGGAGTTATATGGAGGAGGAGGGGGAAGGAACGAGAGATACGTCCAAGAGGAAGGGGCTGGAGCGGGAGGAGTGCTTGGGGCTATTGGCGAGACTATAGCTGAGATTGCAAAGAACACGACCAACTTAGTTATTGGTGATCTTCCTGAGAGGACACATGAGCATGGAACTGCTGGCGGTTATATGGGACAGGACCAAGGACGTCGTTGATAAGTGAAAAGGAGACTTGTTTTGTTTCTTTTTGTTTGTGTCTAAAAAAGGGTTTTTGTATGTAAATAACAAGAAGCTCTGTTTCTGTTAAGAAAGTTTCAAAGTATGTAATGGTTAGTGAAACCCATATCAGCTACTAATCTCTATCTACTACTCTTTAGAAACAAAGTTAATGGACTCTGAGAATGTCTTCCCAACCTTCAAAAAGTTTCTAAAACAAAAGCATCAGTTAACTTCACCTTCAGGATATGTTTCAGATCAAAAACATGATTTAAGAAAAAGACAAAAGCTGTGAAACTGGAAGACTGTTATGCTTTGGACACTCCCTAAAATAGCCTACAAAACACCTAAAACAGCAACCTTAGTAATATATTCATCCATCTCATAAGTGTAAGGGGTAATACATACTCTCTCTTTGGGATTGTAGAAAACAAATAAATAGTCAAAAGTTATAACCAAACCAAAACAAAAAGACATTAGGAGCTTAGTCCCAAGCACTTGGAGTTTCTCCACCATATCCACCACTTGGAGCTCCATATCCACCGCCATAGCCTCCTCCTCCTCCACCACCATAGTAACCACCACCACCACCGCCTCCCCCTCTACTGTAAGACCCTTCCCTTCTAAAGTCACGGCCACCAAATCGACCACCAGACCGCTTGTTCTTACCACCACCAAAGGAGGAACGAGATGCATACCGTGTGAGCCACGCAGGGACTTCTTGGTTAGCTTCTTGCATCAGTTCAGAGAGAGATCTGGCCATTGAGGTGTTGCCATCGTTGAAGAAGGCGGTTGCTAGTCCTGATTTGCCAGCACGTCCTGTTCGTCCAATACGGTGGACATAATCATCAATGTCATTTGGTAGATCGAAGTTCACAACGTGTGCCACGTGGGGAATGTCGAGACCACGTGCTGCTACGTCTGTTGCAACCAGAATCGGTGTTCTGCCGCTCTTGAAGGACTTCAGTGCCACTTCTCTTTCCTTCAAATGCATCAACGACAACACAACATACCTTAGTAATGAAATCATAACTTAATATGCAAGATTTTCAGCTTCGAATCAATTAACTAACCTGTTGTGATCTGTCACCGTGAATGGAGGTTGCTGGAAACCCATTGATGCAAAGCCAATTTTCCAAAGAGTCGGCTCCTCTCTTTGTCTCCACAAACACTAAGGTTAGAGCTTGCTGTAATCATGGAAGAGAATACAATCATCAGATGTATGACGGTGCATGCCAAAAGATGATACAAGACCAGCTGAAGAAAACAGGAGTATTATTTTTACCTTGCCTTGGATGCCATTCTCTCTTTGAGCATGGAGCAGGTCCATTAGATGACTTCTCTTGTCAGAATCAAGTACAAACTCAACCCTTTGGACAATTAAGTCAGTACTTGAACCTACTCTACCCACAGCCAAAAATATATAGTTTGCTAGGAAGTCAGCTGCGAGTCTCTGCACAAGAAACATATATGCTAATCTTCTCAGCTTTGCAAACGAATATGTAAACGCAGAAACATTCTAGTAACGAGTATTATGCAGCTATAAGCACACAAGAAACATAAGCATGAAGCCTAATCAATCTAGAGCCCTCCATCACAGATAATTTGCAAGGAAGAAGTATGTAGCACAAGAATTGATACTTGACACACATGGCAAATAAACTTAAATAGGCATTTCAGAGAAAAGAAACAGTAGAAAGTGAAAATGTTCCCAAACAATGATCCAACAAGAAGGTGAAAAAGTAAACCAAACCTGAATCTCTCTGGGAAAAGTAGCACTAAACAAAAGCGTCTGTCTAACACCACGAGGAGGCATGTCCATTTGCTCGACAATCTTTCTAATCTGCGGCTCAAAACCCATGTCCAGCATCCTATCGGCCTCATCAAGAGCTAAAAATCTAATCATCTGCATAGAGACTCTAGCTCTCTCCAGCAAATCATTTAGTCGACCAGGTGTTGCCACAAGTATATCAACTCCCCTCTCAAGTTCCCGTAGCTGCACAAACAACAAGACAAGATGTCAACAAAACAGATTTAAAACACACAGAAATGAAAATCTCCCAATACTTATGCATAATGTCATATATTGTTAAATCATTTTCAAGTCCAAAACATGCCAACTCCAAAACCAAAACTTGTTAATATTAAAAACTCAAACAATAAGTCTAAGAGAGTGCACATAAAAAACAATTTACTCGTTAACATACCTGCAGGTTAATAGGTGTTCCTCCATAAGCAACAACAACCTTCACACCAGTTTGGTAAGAGAACTTTTTAGCCTCATCATGTATCTACCAAAAAACAACACAAAACAAAGATGATAATCTCAAATCTACCAAATCCAATTAGAATCTAGTAGCCACCAGAAGAGAAACTACAAACCTGACTTGCCAACTCCCTCGTTGGCGACAGAATAACCGCAAGAGGGTAAACAGTCCGTGAGCCACGAGGTCTCTGCAACACATGCTGATCCTTCATAATCCCACTAATTATCGGAAAACAAAACGCAGCCGTCTTTCCAGACCCCGTCTGAGCACAAGCCATCAAATCCCTCCCCGCAAGCAATATCGGAATCGCGTGGCGCTGCACAGGCGTCGGCTTCACGTACTTACACCTCCTGATGTTCAGATTCAAAGCCTCTCCTAAATCAATCTCCGCGAATGTGTTCACAGCGGGAGGCACATTATCCCCACTAGTCTCAATCGGGATGTCCTCATAAGCATCAAAGTTAATCCCAGTGTTGTCCTGCTCAGTAAACTCCGGCTCAGGCTCAGCGTCAGCGTCCTCAAAAGGGTTGACTTCACGCTCCCTACGGTCCCAACCTCCACTCCTGTTGTTCCAACCACCACCAGTTCCTCTTCCACCGTATCCACCACGACCTGCGTAACCACCACTACCACCAGGAGGAGCCCAACGAGAAGCGGAAGGTGGACCGTTGTAACCAACACGATCATTATTAGATTGTGAAGGGGGAACAGGGGTGTCGGAAGAAGATGGTTGCTTGTTCCTTAGATGTGGAGGAACATAAGCAGGTCGTGAAGGTTTAGTAGTAGACACAGAGGCAGTGTTGTTGTTCTCTGAGTCAGCCACATCAGCCCATGATGCACTCATAATTCAACTTCAAACAAAACAGAGTAATCAAATTCACTTAAAGGTGCTTCCTTTATGAAAAATCCTGCAAAATCACAGAGATGGGTTCAACAGATTAATAGCTAAGAAACAATAAAGGAAGAGACTTTGTGAGAATAGAATAATCCAACGAGGAAAGGGAACACACTAATGCCAAAGGAATCACGCAAACTCTTTAACCTCAAAAGCTGGTCAAGAGAATCTGAAGAAAAAAAGACGAATCGAAGAAATCAAATCAAGGGTAGAGAGAAACCCTAAAATTCGATTTGGTTACCTTTTGGATCGGAGTCGATAGATAGAGATTAGAGATGATACGTCTTTGAGAGCAGAGCGATAGAATCAATAAGGGGAGAAAGAGAGGTGGAGAGATATTTTTTTATGTTGTTGTTTCTTCCTTTTTAGAGATTGTGTGCCGTTTTTATTAATCCATGTGTTTTTTTAAAGTTGCGTGTCGGTCTTGTGGTGTTGTACTAGATTGTATGTCGGCTACTAACTATTGACTTTAATTTTAAAAGACTTCTAGAATTTTTTGAATTAAATACTTTTTTATAAAAACATGTAGTCAGCCAAAACATATGATACAATGTTACAATTATTATACACATGGTTAAACAAAACATTATTATAACATTTAGATTAGATTCTTTTTGTAGATAGTGCAACATTACTCATGGTATTTGTACCATCATTTATAAATATAGATAATAAACAGTGACTATAAACATCAGATGCAGTATAATGATGTAGAAACTATGTACTTAGAATATAATTTCTACATTGTTCCAATATGTTATTTCAAAATAGAAAATATACATAGTACAAATAGTTGACAGGGTCACAAGTGATTTATATATAAAAAAACATACTCCTATTGTTTCTAAATGATAAATGTGTTTTAATTTTTTTTTCAAAATAATGTTGTATATTTTTATGTAAATAAATAAGTAAAATTTTAAAAACAAATTTATGGTACTTATGAAATACATTGAATTATACTTGAAAAGTGTCTCAAACTACTTAAGTATCATCAATCAATGGTCGATGGACGTCGTGAACCTATCAGCAATTAATCGTAAAAAGTGTCTCAAACTCTCAAAATCTGATCACCTCTCTTTGTGTTAGACCTATTAGACACTCAAAAAACATGTTAAAAATCGCAAATGGTCATGAAAATATATATAAGTTCTAAATCCAACAAGCAAACAAAATAAAAATAAAAAAGTATGTGCATAAGTCCGAAGATAAAATAAAAGAGAGGAGAGCCAAGTGAAGCTACTCCTCGTCATCGGTGTGTCCATGTCTGGCTGGTGTGGTGGTGCTGGAGCTGCTGGCGGTGATCTCGCTCTGGTACGCGGATGGCTGAAACACTGGCACTTAGACATCGCCTCTACTCTGCTCCAAATGGCATGAAGTGCATCCATCACGACTCTTTGGAAGTCACCGTGATCATGGATGGAGATTTGGAGGATCTGAGGGAAAGCAGCAGAGGGTGGTGGTGGTGGATGTGCTGGCTCGTCCTCGGCCCAAGATACGTCGGTCCCATATCTTATGTTTTATAAATGAAGATACATATGCCTTCCATTTATCTAACCAGAAATATGTTGATTCCCCATTCCAAACATCACATCACAAAAATGTAGATACAATTGGAAAAGAAATTTGTATTGAATTTGTGAACTTTAAGAATTGATAGATTTTGGACTGTGAAAATGTATATATATATATATATATATATATATATATATATATATATATATATATTGACTTATAAAATTTGATCATGATTTTTTTTTTTTTGGTTTGGTATAGATTTTCATTAATCTAGATAACCAGAGGAGTGATTAGAGAGACAAAAACTTGTTTTATAGATATATAAAGAGTAATAAAGAAATAAAAAAAAATGATAAAAAATTAATACTTTATTAAAAAAATGATTTTCTTTTCAAATATTCTTTTCAAAATTTGAAAATGGTTTTTAAACTATTTTTTTAGAAATTATTCTTTAATTATTTTTTAATATTTATAAATATAATTAATTATATATCAATTTTGTTTTTATTTTCAAAATTTCTTTAGAATAAATAGATAGATGCAACATCATTTGTAAACTATGTTGATTTGGGCCAGGGCCCATAGACATAAATGAACATATTTAAAAGACAAGAGTAACGAAACCTCTGCGTTAATAGAAGAAAAATAGAATAGTCGAGACCTAATTGCCGACAATGAGGACGAACTTGAGAGCTTTGGTCGCGAAGGTAAATCTCGAGAACCGAACAGACTGCGATGTTCTGTTATTTTTTTTTTTTGTCTTTGATCTAACATCTGATTTTTTGACTGAATTTTATGTTCACAGGCTTACCGCGTTCGTCAAGGCCGTACTTTCTCATCCTCCTCCTCCGCTCCCAATCCCAATCCTATCGACAACGAAGGTTAGCCACTTTCTCTCTTCCCCCCCCCCCCTGATGAATTGAGTGTTGTATTTGGAAGGATGACGTAAGTGTTTTTTTTTTTTTTGGCTTTATGATTGTAGGGAAAATTTCTATTTACGAGTGGCTCTTAAGTCGAGGTTCTGTAATGTTATTAGGGTTCGGCGCAGGTAAGAAGCAGAGAGAGAATTTATACTCTTGACTTACGCCTCGAATTAGATTTACTAATAAAGCTTTTTTTTTTTTTTTTTTTTGTATCAAGCTTCTTACTTTTCGGGCGATCTTGTTTCCAAATTTGAGGAAAAGGCGAAAGTGGTAAGCTAACAAAACATCATCATCGCAATGCAGTTGAATAATGGCAATATAGGTGTTTTAATCCTCATGATCATCATCTTGTGTGTTTCAGCATAACAAGGATGCTGTGGAATTCTTGGAGAAGAGGGGAAAGCTGCCACCTGGTTCGGTGGAGTCTCTGTCCAAATCCTAATTTTCTCAAGGTCATTGTGGAGCATCACCAAAACCAACACACCGAACCTGCTTTTATAGTTTGTCTCCCTAAGAGAGTCTGCTTATGCGCATCATGGATTTGTTTTCTCTCTAGTGTGGTTTTGGGATCTACATAATACAATTCCGTCTCCCTCTTACATAAACCGTGGGACACGAATTACAATCCGAGAGGTTTCGAGGCCCACAGACATGAAGTTTATCACATGTAAAATAAGAAGACCAGAGAGCTGTTGCTCTGATTCCAAATCAAGTGAAAATCAGACCTGCTTTCTTTTAGCTGCCAATGTCTGAAATCGGAATTCCCAACATCTTTTAGTTAAAACCTGAATCGTTTGGTTGGGTCCTGAAGCTGCAAACAAACAAATGTATGTGAGAATGTTGGCAATGATGGAGTTTTTGCTTCCTGATGTTGGGACCATCTTTTAGTCCAAGAATTTGCAAGTCAGTTTTAGTTGCAGAAAGGTGGTCTTTTACGTTCAACTTCTGTCTTGGTGGTACCAATTTCAAATCTGTGTTTAGTTACAATAATGTATGAAAACACTAATGCTCTAAGTATTCCCCTCTCCGTTATTTCCTTTTCAATACCATAGTATGTTGTAACAGGCCAAGTCCTTTTACCAAAGGGAAATTAAAATCCATCACACACCCCTGAAGATGAAAGAAAATACTGTTTCCAAATTGCATCTCACATGAGGTAATCAGTCGCAACTCGCAAGTTTTCTGTACTCATCAGCAAATGATGCCAGATTCCTAGGAGAAGCTGCCTTGACTTGCTGCACGTGGAACTGCTTTTCCAAACACACGTATAAGATTTTGGAAAATCAACTTCTTAGGGAAGGAGCACGATTGAAACAAACAAAAAGACGCATTCATGGAAGGTGTCAATCAATCAATGCAAGATGTACAGAGAGATGAGGAACAAGCGTACGTAGAGGCATGCATTAAAAACCTGATCGAAAGAACTCACTGTCTGTTAGTGCATCCAACTGTAACAAGCGTATATGAGACTGCTGTGGATAAATAAGGTTGTATCCAACATGTTTGTAACTTCATATCATCTTCAGGTTTTGTATCTTGTTTCCAAAACATCAAGTTCCAACAAGGCCTCTCCTCGTCCTCTTCACCAATAATATGTTTTGACAGAAGAAGACACATGAAAATCTGCAAAGCTTCTGTGCTTCCAGCACTAGTCCCTAACATTGTGGTGTCGTGTACCAAGTTGTTTTTGAGCCCCAACTCACTGTCACATAAAAAGAACTTAACTTTTGATTCTCTCCGAATTTTTCTGTTGCCTCTGTCTGTGACTGCAAATCTTGACTCCAAACAGTATAATATCACTTCGCCAATATCCTCAACCATAGGTCCAGAATCAGAAAAATGCCTCAAACTCAGCTGTAGATAATTGGAAACTGCCACCAATTGCTGTAATAGTCCTAAAGCATCTTGATCCAGAAGCACAAACTCTCTCTTTAATAGATTTAAGACTCTCCCACTACGTTGCATCTTATTCCAGCATGGCTTGCCCATGTTCTCTCCATCAACAACACGTCTAAACTCTAGTATTTTCTCAAACTGCAAGTGTGAGAGAATTGTTGTGTAAACTTGTTGAAGAGAAACCATGTAAGAGCATCTCCAAAAAGACATTCTATTTTAGAGTTTGCAAAACTCTATCTTTGAGGTTTCAATGGTTTTTTTTCCAAAAGCAAAACTTCAAATCTAACTTTTAAAACTATTTGTATTTTACTTTATGGTCCTTATATTTGTCATAATTAATATAAATTCATATTTTTCTATAAATAACTAACACTAGGTATTTTGCCCGCACTTGCGGGCTTAATAATTTTACTAATATCTATAAATAAATATATAATCAAGTTATGTAAATTATAATAAATTATTGTTCATAGACTCAAAATATTTAATAATAAACTAAACGAATTCTTTTTATTTATAAAATTTTCATCATCATATAAATAATTTTCATTACACAACTTATATTTGAAAATACTCATAAAATTGAAAAATTTAGTAATAAATTAATATCGTTTTTAGACATAACAAAAAAGTATAAAAAATTATGTTTAATAATGTTTTGGATAACACAATATAAATTATCTATACATAAATTCTTTGCAAATTGATTTTTCATAATTAACTATATATTAACAAATAGAATTATTTTTTCAACGTTAATAAAGACTTTATAACACAATATAAAAAAGTTAGATAAAGATAATTATCAAATTCATGAGATTCATTTTTAAATTTATAATTAATTATATGTTAACAAATATAATTATTTTCCAAGGTTGATAAAGACTTTATCACATAATATAAAAAATAAGGATAATTATCAGATAAATGAAATTCGATTTTAATTTATAATTAATTATATATTAGATAATATAGTTATTTTTCAAGTATATTAACTAATATAATTATTTTTCAAGGTTAATAAAAGCTTAATAACCCAATATAAAATAGTTTTAGATAAAGATAAATCTAAAATCATTGAAATTCGTTTTTTATTTATGTTTAATTAAATTAATTTTTTTAATTATTCATTAAGGGTATAAACGATAGTAACCGTTCTAACTTTCAACGTGAGAGCTTTCTTGCAAAAAATCATTCACAAATAATAGTATAGATTACCTAAATCATAGAAAGTTACAAATTAATCAGCAAACTCACTTAAATTTTATAATTAAAAAATATATTTTTAAGATAACAATCTAATACAAAAGAATTAAAATATTTTCAAAAAATATAATATTATTAACATAAATTCTTTTTATTTTATTTTATAATAAATTATTAAAATATGAAAATAAGCAAAATAACATAAAATCATGGAGAAGTTGACAACTAAGCAAATTTTTACTTCTAAAATAATAATTGAATAATGTATTTTTTAAGATAACAATCTAATAGAAAATAATTAACATATTTTCTAAAAATATAATATTATTAACATAAATTCGTTTTTATTATATACTAAATTATTAAAACATGAAAATAAGTAAAATAACCTAAAATCATGGAGAAATTGACAACTAAGCAAATTTACTTCTCAAATAATGTTATAGATATATATGAAAAACATAACAATAATAATAATTAAAAAATATTTACTGTAAAATATAAAACTGTAAATAAAAATACATAACTAAATAATAAAATACAAAAAAATATCACATTATTTCATAACATTATTTCTATAATGCTCCATCTTCAATTACACAATACTTATTTGGATAATGTTTTGGTGATTTTGAAGGTTTCAGAAAAAAATTATCATAGTATTAATATTGTTGTAATATTTAAATTTATGTAATAACTATGCTTTTCATGTACTTTTTTAAAAAGATTTTTAAGTTTCTTTTGTAATATTCATGAAGTCTAATTTTCATTTTAAAATAATAGAAATATATTCTAAAGTTTTATGTATAAAACTTAAATTTATAAAAACAAATCTAAAATATTTATAAGATATAAAATTTTTAAGGTATAAAATGTTAAACGAGAAAATATTGAAAAATCATAAATATAATATATAATTAATTGTAAGGATCAAAATGAAAATAAAACTCTGAAACTTCAAATTTGAAGTTTTGAGAATTGAAACTTCAAATATCAAGTTTCAATATTCAAAACTTCAAATTTAAAGTTTTGAAGTTTTTTTTTGGAGAGCCAAAAACTCTATATTTAATGTTATAACGTGTCTTTTGGAGATGCTCTAATACAAATAGATGGCTTTTCAAATAGACGACGACTCGAGATTTTGATTTTATCTTGTACAGTATTTTGATAGATTTTATCAAAAGAGGTGTCATTAGATAGGCAAAAACTTCTTTTATAGATATAATATAAAGAGTGATAAAGAAATAATATAAATGTTAAAAAACTATTTTTTATATATTTTTAATTATATGTTTTCAAATGTCAATTTTTTTATAAATGTATATATATTTATATATATATATATATATGTTTTTAAATTTTGAAATTAAAATTTGAAAATGGGTTTTAAACTATTCTTTTAGAGTTTTTTTAATATTTATAAATATAATTAATTATATATCAATTTTATTTTTTTCAAATTTTCTTTAGAATAGATAGATAGATATGCACATCATTTGTAAACTGTGTTGATTTGGGCCCATAGACATAAATGAACATATTTAAAAGACAAGAGTAACGAAACCTCTGCGTTAATAGAAGAAAAATAGAATAGTCGAGACCTAATTGCCGACAATGAGGACGAACCTGAGAGCTTTGGTCGCGAAGGTAAATCTCGAGAACCATACGAAGTGCGATGTTCTGTTTTTTTTTTTTTTTTTTGTCTTTGATCTAACATTTGATTTTTTGACTGAATTTTATGTCACAGGCTTACCGCGTTCGTCAAGGGCGTACTTTCTCCTCCTCCTCAGCTCCCAATCCTATCGATGACAAAGGTTAGCCACTTTTTCTCTTCCCCCCTGATGAAAGATAAAATAAAAAATCTCGAGTCGTCTGCTTGTATTTTGATATCTGCAGATTGTTCTTTCAGGAAAGGGATCGATCATTATCCCAGTCTGGGAATCTCTTAATCGTTATGCCACCTGTTTTACTGCTGGATATTTGATTCGATTTGGTTTGGGTAATAAAAGTTGAATTTATTTACCTAGTGATAAGAGTTAAGAGTAAAAAGACAAACATGTTCATTCGTGTTGTTTTTTTTCTTTCTTTTTCAGAAATTTCGGCCTTACTTGAAGCCAAGCGAAAGTCGGATGAGTTGGACGAAGAGTATTGTAGAGAGTTAGAACTTTATCATGATGAAATGGTATTAATCTTTACTCTTTTTGCTCTTTTTAGTTTTGGCTTTTGAAGTTCAAAAACTAACTCTCCTTTTCTCTTATTTCGTGCATTCAGAGGCAGAACCGTAGTCCCCATGGATTCTCCGAGGAATGATATGTATCTTATTTGCAATGCCAGTGAACTGTGAATTATCTATGGTTGTGTTTAGTTGTTGCTTTACTCGTCAGGCCCGGCCCTGCAAAACAAAAAAAAAACAAAGGCCGGAAGCTCCTCAGAAAAAAAAAGCTGCAGTGAGAGTTGAACTTGCTACCTATGGGAACACCAAATCACCAACTGCTACTTAACATCTGAACTATAATAACTTTCTGAACTATAATAACTTTTGTAAAGAATTGCCGAAAACTTTATTTTATTTTAAAGTCCGGAAACAGATGCTTGTAATGTTTTTGCCTAGGACCATTTAGTGGTCTCAACGTTTCTTTTTTTGTTCACTCGAACTTTATTATAAAAATAACTTTTAAATTATTTGTTCTCTAGTAAATGAAAAAAAAAACAAATCCGAATCTAGTTAGAATTAATAAATAAAATATTGAGAAAGAAAGAGAAAAAGACATATTATAAAAATAACTTTTAAATTATTTGTTCTCTAGTAAATGAAAAAAAAACAAATCCGAATCTAGTTAGAATTAATAAATAAAATATTGAGAAAGAAAGAGAAAAAGACAGATGTTTGTTGTTGATGTTTGTTGTTGACAATAAATAAACAAAAGGCCCACGAATCCCTAGCCAGATATTTATAAATCCAATCAATACAATATAGTACTACCTGTACAGGGTGAGTATATATAATTAAAATATAAAATTTTAGTATTGATAAATTTAAAATTTCTATATAATTATTTTATATGTATTTGCAATTTTAGAGTTTTTATATAATTATCTATATGTAGGATCATAATTTTTTTAATTAGTATTGTAGCTTAAAACTTAGAATTTAGTGGGTCCGGTTCATATATTTTTTTAGTTTTCAATGTTCGAGTGATGAAAAATAAACGGAGTGTCACAGCGCTTAATTGATAGAGCATTATCAAGTTTCCTAATGTTTTCTTAAGAAATAGTTAGTAGAATATTTCTATTTAGAATATATAAAGTTTCAAAACTAATTTAATATAATTTATTTATTTGTCTAATAATATCAGAAAAAATATTTTTAAAAACCTTTTTTAAATAAAAAAGAATTTTATAAAAAAAGAAGTTAAATTTTAAATTATAATTATGTTTAAAATAATATTATTTCTTCATACGATATGATATATATATATATATATTTATATATATTAACATAAACACCTATTAAAATAAAATTATTTATTCATATGATTTTATAATCATTTTAACTTATTATAAAACAATTAGACCTTGATCACAATAGTTTATGTGAAAATTTTAACAGTTTTAGTAATTTATACTCGTTTTGAAAATTTCAAAATATGACATATATAAAATAATTAAAAATTTTATTATATGATTAGTGTAGTTGTGTAATTTATTTGAATAATAAAAAAATAAAAAAAATGATATAAAGTATACATATTGTTAAAAAATCTTTCTTATTTAAAATCATTAATAATCATAAATATCTTAATCTCATTAAGTAATTCCATAAGTTTTATTTAAGGAAAAAATATATAGGAGATTTAGTTTAATATCTCTAATGAAGCTGACCTTTGCAAAGTCTTGAAACTTTTGATTGTCATTGTGATTGGTAAGTAACAGAACTTGCATAGAAACATACGAGAGAACTTATTGGTAAAACTCCGCCAGAGATATAGAAATAGCTTTCGAAAGTTTTATTGAGGAATTTATGTGTACAATTATAGCCAAAGTTGTATGAACAACATGTACAACTTTTAGCCAAAGAACCTCACTATACCTGTTACATTCTGAATATCCTATATACAGAAAGAATGATCACGAGATAGTGTCTTAGAAAAGTGAATGATCAGAGGGACAGGATTGTTCAGGTCAGGGCTCAATGTACAAAGATATTCACACGGTTCCTTCTTGGTACAGCCGATACATGACCTGTAGAAAAGAAATCAAAAGGCCCCCTCTTATCAAAACAACATGTGTCTGGAAAAGGATGATATAATGGATAAATGAAGAACAGATCCAGAAACAAGTTAAGTAGTTAGCAGCCCTCCCTCGACTAGAACTAACAGACATCAAAGAGAGTAGAGAGGATTAAACACGCTGAAATGGTTTCAGGGAAGTATAGTTGAAAGAGTAGTCACTGACACTAAACCTGATGTCACTGGATTTGACTGTGAAGCCACAAAACCATAGCAAAGAAAGCCCATTTGAGTATAGCTAGAGAGAGACACACACCCATTTCCAAAAAATGCATAAAAGCTATAATACGTGAGCTAATAAAATATTTCATAGACCTAAAGTTTATCTCAACCAACCTAGCAACAACAGGTAAATAACACAGGCATATAAGGTAAAATAAAAGTAAGTAGAGGGTTACCATTGCCACTCTCCCTCATGTCTGATTTTGAAGTCTTCAAGCTAACTAGACCTTCGTACTCAGCCACCAGCTCAGGTAGAAGCCTAGCGTAGACGTCACTCCACAATTTCTTCTGATTCGCAGAATGTGCATACCTCATCGACTTCATCTGGTTTATAGAGTACACTATCCTCAACTGATTCCCACTTGTTTCAGAAAGTTTGGTGGATGCATTCCATTCAACAACGTTTGAAGCATATCCCTTCTTATCTTGCTGCTTCCCACCAACACCAACAATCTTCTGTTTCCCTCCTCCGTTCTTGTTATGCTTTCTTGGTGCATCCTTATCAGTTCCTGGCCTCCTCTTAGGGTGATCTTTAGCTTTCTTGGAGAAAGGAACAACGTTGAGCAAGGCAGTGTCATCAACCAAATCGATACTCACTACAGATCTCCCAACAAAAGCATTGTCCTTAACTCTCACTCTTTCCATCTTCTGATGCTGCTCATTCCCATTATTTTCGAGCGTCTCCACATCTTTCTTCTCGATCTCAGCCTCCAAAACTTTGGAATCTTCTTGTCCCTTCTTCTCAGAGATACAAACAACAACGAACCCATCAGCCTCTCCAACTTGTGTAGAAACCCCAGAGATGTTTGCAGAAGACGTTTCTTTGATCCTATCTTCTTCAAGAAACGCAGAGGAGGTAGTAGTTTCGGGAACAGAGAGGACTCCAGGACAATGCACATCCACCATAGCCTCGGGTTCTTTGGAGAAAGAAGCTTCAGCAGAGTCTGAAGAACCGATGGTTTCTTCATATTTCGCAAGAATACAAGTCAAAGGAGGAGAAGACTTTACTTGCTTCTTTGAGCTAACCATCATCTCTAAAACAGAGTCCTTCTCTAGTGGCGGCAAAGAAACGACCTTTAGTGACGAGTTTTGTGAAAACCCATCTCGAAAAATCGAAGCTTTCTCTGAGGTAAGAAGACACTCATCGGAATCAGATCTCGTCGTCATCACCGGAGAGAGAAAGTGAGAGAGAGGGATTAGCGCAAAATCCTTTAATGAAGAAGATGATGAATAGAGCGGTTCGAATCAGTTTAAATAGAGCTGAAACCGGTTTGATAAAACCGTTAAAATTGCGGGAAGCCGTTAACCGGTTTATAATTTTTATAACGAGGGTATTATGGTAATATCCTATGAAACAGATCGATGTCTACAAAACCACTCCTCCTACGCGCCCATTCCGTGACCAAGTTTTTTTACTTTTCTTGTTATGGACTTGTGTTTTATCGATGATTGGATTTGGATCTGTTTTTTTTTTCTCTCTGTTTTGGAATTGTATCAAAGTGAAGTCATTTCTGGCAAATGTTAGATCTTGACGTATGTGTGTAAGTAAATTCTATGGCTTGAAGAATTGGCTTTGCTTCTATGGTTTGATTATGAGTTTTGGCTGCAAAAAAGCAATCAACTATTAGCTATTGGTTTATTATGTAAATCTGGTATGATATAAACCAGTGTAGATAATAAACCAATAGCTAATATCAACCAACCATATCTAAGCTAGTGTTTTTATGTGTCTGGTAGTGTGGGTTCCTCTGACTATTGAGTTGGGTTTTTTTTCTTCTTAGCATCAGTTACTTAGCCCTGCATCACTGGCTTTTAAAGTAAGGGGAAAAAGAACAGAAAAAGAAAAAAAGGAAAACCCTTTCTTGCTGGTTTTAGAGCTATTTACAATTCAATAGACAACCTTTCAGTAGCTCATATCAATCAATAACCTGATAAGTACTTGCACGGTTTTATTTTCTGTGCTTGATTTTCCTGTTTACTGCATTTGCCAACTAGATTTCTCTCCAACTATACATTTTCAACTCATGTGTTTAATAGTGATTATCAATGGTATTCTTCTTTGGAAGTTAAAGATTTGAATACAAATCATATGCAGCGTTGTTTTTTTCTTTCTCTCTTTAGGTTAGATCATTATGCGAGAAATCCAAGGAGATCTAATTAATGGATGAAAGCAACGTTCTTGGTCTTGCATCTCCCACCACCGCTCTTGGTGATCGTATTTTCAATGTGGTAGACTCTGCTACTAGCCATATATTTATTCGTTTTTAACTCTTTCTTGCAATGCAGCCTGTGACAAAGTTCCATGATCTTGCTGAGCTTTTCCGCATTGGTGGAATGGTAACATCTATAAAACTTACTGAGAAGCACACTGCATGCTAGTTTTGTCTCTATTCAGCATGCATTTTGGCTCTGGTGCTAATTTTTGTTTATCCACTATAAATAATTCTACAAAGCTTACGAGTATTCATTCTCCTCTCTTTTGCAGTGTCCTGACACCAAGTACTTGTTTATGGGAGATTACGTTGATCGTGGTTATTATTCTGTTGAAACTGTTAATTGCATGCGAGTAATTTGTATCATCATTAGCATAGTACTCGTGTCTCTATTTCCTCGTTGTTACATGTGTGTCAAAACCATATTATATTTTCTTTACCTCCCTTGTCTTAGCTTGTGTTTATTAATCTTTCAAACTTATGATTACTTTGCTTGTAACATTGTGCTTATATTGTATTATCTTACGCATCCGAGTTTGAATCTTATTAACCTCTACCTAGATATACATTTGATTATTTCGATTTGCCACATGTTTAGCGAAGCGTGCAGGTATGGCAACGCAAATGCCTATCATGTTTCAAACCATATTTTTTCTCTTAGAGCATCCTCATCGCTTAGAGCACTCTTAGGATTTTTACTTTTTTTATTTTTTTTCTTATTATTTTTTTTTTTACTTTCGTCAGATTAAAAAAAAAAGAACCAATCGTGGGCCGCCACGTGTTGTGGGGCCCGCGAATTGGCACAAGAGTTGTCTCTTACGGAAGAAGAGAGAAGAGAAGGTTTAAAAAAAAATATGGGCCCCATCACCTTAGAGCTGCCATAAGAGGCAGCGATAATGATGCTCTTATGATTAGGGGTGGGCACGGATCGGATATCCGGGGTTTTTAAGGTATTTGTGATTTGCTTCGAATGTTACGGATATCTAATTTTGGTATTTGCTTTGCTTCGAAAAAATACGGATATCCGGAAAAACGGATATCCGAAAAATAAATAGATATTTGCGGATATTTACGAATATTTATGGATATCTCATCCATTTTAATTAGTACAAATAATCTTAAGATTTTGATACAAATTTGCTTTGCAAAAATATTTTTTTGCATGATATATAAAATAAAACTTAAAAGAACTAGTGAATTTATAGATTTTGTAATTTTTTAAAGTTTAAGTTACAATTATAATAACATAGAATTTAAGAAAAAAATATAATTGTCAAAAATATTTTATCTATTTTATGTAATACTTTTATATAAGTAATAATTTGAATAGAATTATTCAAAATCATGTGCTAAATTAATAATTTTATAATTTTATACAATTAAAATTTTAAATATAATTAAAATATACATATATTTATATATTTACGGATCGGATCGGATATCCGCTTTCTAAAATTTTAATATTTGTGATTTGCTTCGATTTTAACGGATATTGAATTTTAGTATTTGCTTTGATTCGAAAGTTTACGGATATCCGGAATTTTCGGATCGAACCGAAACGAATAACGGATCGAATCAAATATAACGGATAAAATGCCCAGCCCTACTTATGATGTTGCATCTTGTGCTAGCAATATTCTTTTGAATTAAAAAGAACTGCTTTTGTATTGTGCTGTCGTATTTCTTTTGCTAGTGTCACATCATTTGCAAGGTTACATGTATGTATGACATATCTGACTAATATGGTGTTTTCTTTACATTATTTAGGTGTTTACTAAATCATTATGTTATTCCATTGCAGGTTGATTCAGAAATATTTATTTTGCCTTCACGGTGGATTGTCTCCATCTATCGAGACACTTCACAACGTAAGGAACTTTGATCGAGTTCAAGATCAATGTGTGGCTTATTATGGTCTGATCGATCCTGATGACGGTTAGCCAGAGGCTATTGATAAGCAAAATAACTTACTATATAAGTTAGGTGGAGATTCTGTTGCAGTTTTTAATGTTTTGTTTTTAATAAAAGACGCTGATAGGATAGAGAAGAAAGAAAACAAACCCAAAGACGACAACTAAACTAGTCATCAAACTCATTTAAGTACATTAACATGACGTGTTTCACACTCAAGACAATAATATACATAACGTGCAGAAATTAAAGTGTCGATTGATGCTTAACGGATAATGAGAATCTTAAAGTCAAAAAAAAGAGAGGATAAAATGAGAACATGACTATTGCTGTCGTCATGGACGGATTAAGATTTTGTTTCATAAGAATATTTGAAAATATTGTGAGCCTCTCGCAAACTCATCGACTAGTCATAGACAGCGGTTTTTTGCTGGTTTGAGATTTGCATGGACTGTGTGCGGTCCACTCCACGATCTATTTATATATGTCAAAAATTATTAATATTGCAAGTGTGTATTATATAAAGTTTAAAGTAAATTTGAATGTATACATCATACTTTTCACATCTTCTTAAAACACAATAACTTGTATTTTTTTGAATTTGTGTCTAAGAAAACTTCGATCAGTAACTTTTGTAAGTTTCGTGTGTTTTATATACGTGCTAAAGTTACTAATGTACACCAAATGGTAATATATAGTATTAGTAGGCTAGTAGCATATGAATGTTTTCGTCCCAAAATAAAAATATTGAATGTCCATCAATAATATATTTTGGTGAGACGCATCAACAATATTGTTTCTTTGTGTATTCATATTTTCTGGTTAATGACATTTTGCTTATTCCCCCTAAATTATTTTGTACCTAAATAACATCATCACCTTAAATTAAAAAAAAAACGTATGCTTTTTTTTTGTTGCTTTTCTAAAGTTAAATGCTTTTGTCAATAAATACAACCTTATAGACAAATAATACTTTCTTCACCTACTTTTCATGCTTAATTTCATGTTACTATATGTGTGTTGATATTTTGATTCTTTTGATTGAACACAAACATTTATACAACTATATCTATACACAATTACAGATACTATCCTAAATATATTATAATTTTTCTCCTAATAATAATACACAAAGTTTATTATCTCCCAAGATAATATTCATACTGGATTCCCAATATCTACATCTCCTAATTTTGTTTATTTAACTCTCATTTAATCTACAGTTAAACCTCTATAAATTAATAATGTTGGGATTACACCAAAATTTTATTTTTTTATTAATTTAGAGAGATATTAATTTATAGATATACTAATTGAACCAAAAACTCAATTTGGGACTAAAAAAATATATTAATTTATAGAGATATTTAATGTATATTAATTTATCGAGTATTAATTTATAGAGGTTCTACTGTACTAAACTAAACTCGTAACTGCAATTTCAGCGATCACATGAATTTGTATAGTGCATCCACGTCGATATATATCCAAAGTTGGATCTAATCTATTAATTTAGGGTTCTATTTGAATTCTATCATGGCATATTTTTAATTTGGACCTATTGAATATGTTGTGACTAAAACTCTACTTATATATTCATTTGTAGTATTAAAATAAAATCTATCTTAAGATTTTACCCTTGATTTACTTTGATAATAACAAACAATCCTATATATGTGCTTAACATAATTAATAAATATCTCATTTCATAATATATATCATATCTCATTTCCTCTTAACGTTTAACAAGGTTCCTAAATTCACTGTACAAATGATTTCATTCACGAATTCCGTGGTCACACTTTTCCTAATAGTTATTTCATTCATCTATCTTTTAAAAAGTACACCAAAACATGTAAAACAAATTACACCAAAACATTAATAAGATATACCAAATAAGATGTCATACATTCAGTAAAACATCATGCAATGTCATTTTACTATATATGATTACAAAGATTTTCATTTGATAATCAAACAGCGACATATTTAATTTGATCATCAGTATATTATATAACTTACCTTTCATCATTTGAGTTTTATTGTTTATATGTAAATTTGAGTTATGTTTCCTTAATTATTTATCACATTTTGAATACAAAGCCAATATCTATAACCTAAACAAATTTGAATGTATTCCTAGACCCTATATATGTCCTCTACATAGTCTACTATAACCCATATAAACGTATGAAAATATTTATTTTAATTCAAAAACTATTTAGAATATTTTTGTGACATTTTAATATAATTTTTTTATGGTAACACAACAAACTATTGTAGAGACAAATAAATGACTTTCCAACAGAGTTAAACTACTGAAATAAAAAAAAAAATTGAAAACACGGGTCAGAAAATAATAAGATTAGTTTTAACAGTTAAAAACACAAATTATTAACATATATACGCGCTTTTAAGCGCGGGTAAAACCCTAGTTTTCTTTTAAATAAATGTTGCTGTATATACTGACTTGTTAAAAAGTAAAGTGGAGCCCCAAGGATAATGCTTTGTCATCTTCTGCTTTGGACTCAAGCCACATTCAAATCAAAAACTCTATAAAACAAAATCAAATAAAAAGAAAAAAGAAAAAATCAAAAAATTGAATCATCAGTTTGTTTCCTTCCTCCCACCACCACGGGAAAGAAAAGTACGATCACACACTGATACCTAAAACAAACTCAGATCCGGTGAAGAAGAGAAGAAGCTTCTCGAAAACTTCGGAGTTGAAGAGAGGTGGGGGGGAGGAGATCACGCCGTCGACGGATAGAGATAGGTTTTGCTGTATGTCATTGGATTGCGTTGAGACTTACTTTGGTGGATTTGGTGAACTTGTGAACCCTATTCAATGGCCTCAGCTTCGAAAACGACGCCGGTTTGTGCTCACCGTGGAGTCTCTGCTGCTGCTCCGTCTCCGAAACTCGTCTCCGTCGTGGCTAACACGGTTGCTGGAAGCTCCGAGGGTGAGGATCAGCGAGTCTCTAAGGCTTCTTTGGATTCCGTGATCCGCCTTGGCGATTCGATGGTTGATGCTGCTAAGAAACCTGCTAACAAAGGTAGATCAAAGTCTCTGGCTCTCCGTTAGAGTGAATTAACTGTTTAGAATCTAGAGAATCTTGCGATCTGCGTTTAGATTCGTTCTCTTGAGGTTTATGTTGATCGTTGATCTTGTTTCTGATCTTGGATCGTAATGTGTTTGAGTTACTAACGAATTAACTCGAATTGTTGATGACCGTTGGATTCATTCTCATGCGGTTGATACTGATCGTTGATCATCGTTCTGATCTTGGATCGCAATGTGTTTCGAGTTACTGAGTTGTTTCTTGTTCACTGGACGTGTTGATGATGGTTGGTTACTTCATGATCTCTTTGAAATTGATATATTATGTTGTGATCACTGTGGTACCAATGCAGGAGTCTCTGTCATGCCAAGAACTGAAACGAAGCATCCGTTGGATCCTCTATCTGCTGCAGAAATATCAGTTGCTGTGGCGACTGTTCGTGCGGCTGGTGCTAACCCTGAGGTGTGGAGACTTTGTTCTTTTTCATCTTATTATGTTCTGAAAATATGTTTGAATCAAATGTAGCATGATGCAGAAGATATGGTCGTTGATACCATTGGTTTTTCTTTGGCAGGTTAGGGATAGTATGCGTTTTATTGAGGTGGCCTCAGTGGAACCAGAGAAGCAAGTTGTGGCCCTGGCAGATGCTTACTTCTTCCCTCCGTTCCAGCCGTCACTACTTCCAAGAACTAAAGCTGGACCTGTGATCCCTATGAGGCTTCCTCCAAGGCGAGCAAAACTTGTTGTGTACAACAAGAAGTCTAATGAGACGAGTGTTTGGATTGTAGAGCTATCTGAGGTGCATGCTGTCACTAGAGGTGGACATCACAGGGGGCGAGTTGTTTCCTCGGAAGTTATACCTGATGTTCAGCCCCCTATGGTAGTTTTCAGAAATCTAATCTCTACTCTAAATGAATTTGGATGCTACTCTTGTTCACGAGTTTCTCAGTTTCAAGTCTTGTGTTTTTAGGATGCGGCTGAGTATGCTGAATGTGAAGCGATTGTCAAAGACTTCCCTCCATTCATTGAGGCAATGAAGAGGAGAGGTATTGATGACATGGATTTAGTGATGGTTGATCCCTGGTATGTTTCCTGTTTTTTTTTTTCTGCTGATTGTTGTCAATGAAGGTGTAGCTTTTTCCCTGAGCCTGACTCTGAATTTATTGTGCAGGTGTGTGGGTTATCATAGTGAAGCTGACGCTCCTAGTCGTAGGCTTGCGAAGCCCCTTATATACTGTCGAACTGATAGTGATTCCCCTATGGAAAATGGCTATGCTCGTCCAGTTGAGGGCATTTATGTACTTGTAGACATGCAAAATATGGTGGTGATCGAGTTTGAAGATCGTAAGTTTGTGCCACTCCCCCCACCCGACCCTTTGAGGAATTATACACCAGGTGAGAGTAGAGGAGGTGTTGATAGAAGTGATGTTAAGCCTCTACAGATTATCCAGCCTGAAGGTCCAAGCTTCCGCGTAAGGGGTTACTTTGTCGAGTGGCAGAAGGTAGTTTTCCAGTAATAGCCTAATTGAAACCAGGGGATTATGCTTAAGCTTATTTCTAAATTGGCTCAACATTTTCTTCACAGTGGAACTTCCGTATTGGGTTCACTCCAAGGGAAGGTTTAGTCATACATTCAGTAGCGTATGTTGATGGCAGTAGAGGTCGAAGGCCTGTTGCACACAGGCTAAGTTTTGTGGAGATGGTTGTGCCTTATGGTGATCCAAATGAGCCACATTACAGGAAAAATGCTTTTGATGCAGGGGAGGATGGTCTTGGAAAAAACGCACATTCGCTTAAGAAGGTTTGAATTCAGTTTGTGTGTTCTCATTATCTAATCAGATCTCGGTTTGTGTGTAACAATTTGGTTTTATAGGGGTGCGACTGTCTGGGAACTATCAAGTACTTCGATGCACATTTCACAAATTTCACTGGAGGAGTTGAAACAATTGAGAACTGTGTGTGCCTGCATGAAGAGGATCATGGGATCTTGTGGAAACATCAGGACTGGAGAACAGGATTAGCTGAAGTGCGAAGATCGAGGAGGCTAACTGTCTCCTTTTTATGTACTGTTGCTAACTACGAGTATGGATTTTACTGGCACTTCTACCAGGTTAGTGGAAAATGTGGTTAATCATTTCTAGAGTATAGCAGATGTTAGTCATTTTTGCACAAGACAATGGTTTGTGTCTTAGAATAAATCTTGATTAGAACGGACTCACAGTTGTATAAAGTTAACACTCTGCTTATGATGTGTATGTTGTTTCGTCCTTCTCGATAATTGAAGACCAATATCATCTTATTATTTGAATGTCTTACTGTAGGATGGGAAAATCGAAGCGGAAGTAAAACTTACTGGTATCCTCAGTTTAGGAGCACTACAGCCAGGAGAAACTCGAAAGTATGGCACTACAATTGCTCCTGGGCTGTACGCACCAGTTCATCAACATTTCTTTATCGCTCGTATGGATATGTCTGTTGACTGTAAACCTGGTGAAGCTTTTAATCAGGTACTATGACTTCGCTGCTTAGTGATTTTTTTCTCGGTTTCTAGGAGTGGCATTGGTAGCATAAGTATCGATAGTCCCTGAGAAAAAATCTTAGATATATGTGGTCAGGTGAGTCAGCTGAATGTAGTTTTATCTATAGGTAGTTGAGGTAAATGCCAGAGTTGATGAGCCCGGTGAGAATAATATCCACAACAATGCTTTTTATGCGGAAGAGAAGTTGCTTAGATCTGAGGCAGAGGCGACGCGTGACTGTGACCCTTCCAGTGCTCGCCATTGGATTGTAAGCCATCTGTACCTTTCACGATATCGTCCACTATTCTTAGTCTACCTTTCATTTGATTGAAAGCATCAAATATATTCAATGAATATAAGTTGCTATACAACAACTCAGTGTTACTATGATGTCAGGTAAGGAACACAAGGACAGTAAACAGGACGGGGCAGTTGACAGGATACAAACTTGTTCCAGGCTCAAACTGTCTGCCATTAGCTCGACCCGAAGCAAAGTTTCTAAGAAGAGCTGCTTTCCTGAAGCATAATCTGTGGGTTACCCGTTATGACCCTGAAGAGAAGTTTCCAGGAGGAGAGTTCCCAAACCAAAACCCACGTTCTGGTGAAGGTCTCGCCACATGGGTGAAACAGAACCGTTCCTTGGAAGAATCTGATGTCGTTCTTTGGTATGCATCCTTCTCACCATTAAACAACCAAAAATATTGTGTGATTTCAGTGTTGGAATTTGGGTTTCACAGGTATGTGTTTGGGATCATACACGTTCCTAGACTTGAAGACTGGCCAGTTATGCCCGTTGAACATATTGGTTTCACACTAATGGTAAGTCAAAATCTCTGTCGTAACTTTCAATAAAAAAAAAAGTGTCTTAAGCAAAAAAGACAAACATTGGTTATTAAAAATGTTTTGGATTATTGACAGCCACATGGATTTTTCAACTGCTCACCGGCCGTGGATGTTCCACCGAATCCAGCATGCGAATTGGAGACCAAGGACAGTGAGGTCAAAGAGGTCGTAGCATCGAAGCCTGGTTTAGTTTCAAAGCTTTGAACATGATGACAGACTTTTTTTGTATAAATTTGTAAAAATTGCTGTTGCTCTATTCAATTTCGTATTGGAATCTTTTGTTGTTTGGTGTGTGATTGTTGCAGACTTTAAGACATTTCGCGTTTGATGTTCATTACAAATCAATACTTATCTCAGTTTTAAGTTTTTTACTAGTACAGTAACGAATACCGAATACGTAAACAGTTATGTATTGTTGTTATTTCATATTTGATATCTTTTAAAAAAAGAAACAAAATCTTGTCAAGTTATATTATATTTTTAAAATAAAAATATAAACAAATAAATAAAAATATTAATATTTAAAAAAACGAAAAACAAATCTTTAAAATTTTTTTTAACATTATATTATGTTTTAAAATAAAAGATAAAAATAAAATAAAACAGTAATAATTGCAAAAAACAATTTAAAACAAAAAAATATTTTAATATATCTTTAAAATAAACACATGTGTTTAAAATAAAAAGATAAAAATAAATAAAAAATAGTATAATTGGTTAGTATTAATTTACCTAAATGTTAAGATTTTTCCAAAAGGTTTATGATTTACCCAAGGGTTTAGGGTTTAGGATTAGGGTTTAGGGTTTAGTATTAAAGTTTATGGTTTAGGATTAGAGTTTAGGGTTTAGTGTTTTAGTGTTAAATATTTTTAAAAAAGTTTTTTCTTTTTTTTTTAAATATTATTATTTTTTATTAATTTTTTGTATTTTTATTTTAAAAATATAATATAACTTAAAAAGATTTGATTTCCTTTTTTAAAAAAATATCAAATATAAAATAACACCATCCTATTGTATTTTTATTCTAGGGGTGAACCTAAGAATAACTCTTAAATTAATAACAATTTTCCTTTCAAAGCTAGGATATATCTTATATCTTATCGTTTTTCCTATAAAAGTGACATTAATAGATATTTTAACTGCTTAAAAATGTAAATAAAAATATAAACAAAACTATATATTTATAAGTATACCTTGTATAGGTTTCAATTAAAACTTCTTTTCATGGTTTTGCTTCCGAGGTAGTGTTAGATTCGAATTTATTATAGGCTTTCAAATTAAAATCAATTAATGATTAATGGATTGGCATTTGTTTTTTATATATTACTTAAGGTTCCATTGAATTCCCGATGTGGAGTAAGTTATCTCTAGTACTCCTCTAGAATTTTTTTAAAGATAATTATATTCGGTCGAGTGAGTCAAGTACGACAATTATAACTAGTCGTAAGGTTCAACACGACCTATATACCCGGTCAGAAGGGTTAATTAATTAATTAAGAGTATAGAGTTTTTAGGATCTGGGCTCTAATACCATGTTAAATTCAGGTTTATTATGGCGTCCAACTTAAAACCAACTAGTGATAAGTGGATTGATCCTAACCATTTATATATTACTTAATTAATTATTTAACAATCGATGTGTGACTTTGTTCCTAATACGCCCCCTCGAGATGATGGCTCTCTGGCGTTAATCTCAAAATGTTTGGGCAAGGATCGATGGACCGACTTTGAACACGGATCGATAATGGATCGTCGACCCTGATACATATTAAATTAGATGGACTTCCTACCTAAAATCAATTGGTGATAAGTGGAGTGGACCATCTACGATAATGGATCGGCTTTCAAAATTGTTTTTTTTTGTAATAGGGGACAAATAACCTATATGATCTTTTACATTTCTTTTCCAAGCTAGGGCTTTCAGAATTTGTTTCCCTTTTTTTTTTTGCTTCCAATATAAACAGAGGCGGTGAAAGTTTCATCAAGCATAGCAATATGTGGAGTCAAAAGCCGAGCTTCAGGTTTGAGATAGATAACTACTCGAAGACGGAAGGTACCATAAAATCTAAGACATTCGTGGCTGGTGGATGCGAATGGTAAAAACCAGAAACCTAAAAGCTAGCTAGATTCGTTGACCCTCTTTGTTTGTATCTCGAAGACATGATGTATATATACGTACGTTTAATAATTTGTTTCAACTTCTTAATTTCAGGTATCTTAGCGTTTATCCCAAGGGAGGTCTTCTTGATGATTATGATCACTTTTCTCTGTACTTGCACGTTGCAAATCCTACCATGCTGCGACCTGGGTGGAAAAGGAAAGTTGGTTTTTACTTCACTTTGTTGAATCAATCCGAGAAAGAGCTCTCCAGATCTAACCGTAATGAACTATATCCTTCCATGTTTTTTTTTTCAACTTTGTTCGAAGATACACTAGCCAGTAATTATACTCTTTCTTGAGGATTAGTACTAGACTCCTAAGCACCGCCTAGATAGATTTTGTTAAAAATTGTTTCGTTTCGGTTAAGATCGATTGCCTAGGAGGAACCCCCAGTTGATCGACACTGGTTATTAGTGATTTGAATTTACAAACGAATATGAACTAGAGACCACGTATTTATTGGTTATTTTCCGAATTTGAAATGTATAGAATTTAAATATTTGTCCAAGGGTTCACTAATTCATAGAGGGGGGTTAGGGTTTAGTTTTGAACACAGGGAATGATTTAATTTAGGGAGTTTGGGTTTTGATCAAAAAAGAATTATGAAATAGAGGTATAGAAGATCAACTGAGCCCATAGGAGATTAGCTTTAAAAAAAATAGGGGCAGGGAAGAAGTTGACTCGTTTCAAATGTTGTAAGATGTGGAAATAAAGAAAAAGAATTACAATCTAGATGTGGAATAATGTGTGTTATGTAAAGAAATAGTTCTACACTTATGTTTGGATCCTCAAGAAGCAGAAGAAAAAAACTGTAGTTGATGTAAATTTTTACCTTTGTTTTACGCAGTTGTATCATGCAAAGTACTTGATGCTAAGACTCCATCCTGGGGGTTTCAAAAGCTATGTCCTCTTAGCAAGCTTCAACAGAACGGTGTTTTGGAGAATGACAGACTAATCATTGAGGTCTACATTAATTTGATTCAAGCTGTTGTCGCAGTAAGCGAAAATGTATCAGAGAAAGAGGAGACTGTGGATATCAACGGTTTTAAGGTTCTTGCTTCTCAGGTTACTCTAGTGAGGAAGATATTCGCAGAGCATCCAGACATTGATTTAGGTTTTAAATCAAATAACCAAGTTCTGAAGACAGCATACATGAATGTCCTCCTTGGTCTTATCAATACATTAAACAAGCCTTCACAGAATCTCTCAGAGACTGAGTTAACTAAAGCTGAGAGCGAGTTGAGAGACTTGGAAGAAATGGGATTCAAGCTTGACTGGCTGAAGTCAAAGCTTGAGGAGGTTATCTTGGAGAGGAAGAAAGCAGATCATGTCTATGGTAATAAGGTCATACAACTTGAGAAACGTTTGGAGAATCTTGAGCAGATTGAAAAGAAGAGAAAGATTGATGAGTGTTTCTTGGAGAGGAAGAAAGCGAAAGATGATGGGTCTCTCGAGGAACGGGTCAAGAACCTTGAGGAGGTGGACTCCAGTTTCAGGATGGAATGTCTGAAGTCGAAGTTTGGGGATGTTTCCTTGGAGAAGAAGAAAGTAGATGATGCTGATGGGTCTAGGGTTCAACAACTGGAGGAGAACGTCAAGCGTCTTGAGGTGATTGTGTCGGATCTCAAAGTGAAACTTGACGAGGGGAAGGACAAGTCCTCTTCTGATGGATTTCTGATGGTCGACGACTACACGGTAGCTTGATGTAGAAATCAACTCGTACTTCATTTAGAAGACTCTACTATAATGTTATGAGTTTCTTTGTTTTGGTGCTGTTTGTTTCACCATCTATCATCTTCATCCAGCTAATCCATCTAGATGATTCATCTAGATGATCCATCCACATTTTTGAGATTGTTTGTTTGTCCATCAAGATGGTCCATTTCGATGGATCATCTAGATGGACTCATGTTTGTTTCTCTGTTTTTCTTCTCCATCTAGATGAGTTTAGTAAAAAAATTACTAAAATGCCCTTGTTTTAATTTAGTCATATGTATAATATTAATTTCAAATATATTTTTATAATTTTGACGCGAATATGAGTTTTTGCGGATTTGGGAAAAAACGGGTTTTTGTGGTTTTAGTTGGAAAATGCGTGTTTGCGGTTATAGCGGGAAACACGTTTTTGCGATTTTAGCGGAAAAATACATTTTTACAGGAAAATGTGTTTTTACGGTTTTGGCGGGAAAACACATTTTTGCGGTTTTAGCAAAAAACACGTTTTGGCGGGAAAACGCGTTTTTGCAGAAAAATACGTTTTGGCGGGAAAACACGTTTTAGCGGTAAAATACGTTTTGGCGGGAAAACACGTTTTAGCGGTAAAACGCGTTTTGGCGGGAAAACACGTTTTGGCGGGAAAACGCGTTTTTGCGGAAAAACACGTTTTTGCAGAAAACACGTTTTGGCGGGAAAACGCGTTTTGGCGGGAAAACGCGTTTTGGCGGGGGGGGGGAGGCATTTTTGCTGGAAAATGCGTTTTGGCGGGAAAACACGTTTTCGCGAAAAAACACGTTTTGGCGAAAAACACGTTTTTACGGGAAAACGCGTTTTGCGGTTTTTATGAGAAAACGCGTTTTTGCGAAAAAAAACGGATTTTTTTGCGGTTTTGGAAGGAAAACGAGTGTTTGCGGTTTTGGTGGAAAAATGTGTTTTTCGGTTTTTGCGGGAAAATACGTTTTGGCAGAAAACCGGATTTTTGCAGTTTTGCTAGGAAAACGTATTTTTGCGGTTTTGACGGAAAACGCGTTTTTACGGAAAAATGCGTTTTGGCGGAAAAACGAGTTTTTGCGGTTTTGGTGGGAAACACATTTTTGCGGTTTTAGCTAGGAAAAAATGTATTTACGGTTTTGGCGGAAAAAATGTTTTTTTTTGCGGTTTTGGTAGGAAATCCGTTTTTGCGATTTTGGCGAGAAAACATGTTTTTACAGTTTTGGCGGAAAAACGTGTTTTTACGGTTTTGGCGGAAAAATGCGGTTTGATCATTTGAGGAAATGTGGTTTTGTCATGTAAGTTACAAAATAATAGTATGTTTAGGTTTGTAATTTATGAATAATATAAAAGGGTATAATAGACATTATACAATTTTGGAAGAACCATCTCCATTCAGATGGTTCAAATTGGTCCATCGAGATGGACTTCAAAATTAAACCTAAAATTTCAAAGTCATCTGGATGATCCATCTAGATGAATTGTACTTTTAGTGTATAAACAAACAAAACTCTCATCTCCAGATGACTCATCGGATGGTGAAACAAACAGGCCCTAAGAGACTCGGCTTTATAATAAAAAAGAAATGGCTATATTGATGGTTTCATATTGTCTTTTGTATCTTCATCACCTTTTTAAACGTTTTAGGTCAATCTCCTTAAGCAGCTCAATAAAATTCACTTCAAGCTATAACTTCCTGATCACGTCTCTTCTTCAGCCTCAAGAGTCTCTCTCCCACCAAACCAATCCTTATACTATCGACTATCAATACTGGTAAGTGATAGACAAATAAAATAAAACAATTGGAATTTAATTAGTATTCCTGACATTTATTAATGTTAATTACCGGCCAATAAAAAAGTTACTCCCTCTGTTTCAAATACATACATTTTATAGGAAAAAAATGTTTCAAAACGATGTATTTTTTCTATCATCATGTTCTTAGTAGTCAGGTGAGTCAATGAGTTTCAATTTCTTATTTGCATCTTGGGGCAATAAACATTTTCTTATTTGTATTATTTGTAGGTAATTTATAAACCTATGTCTATATATATATATATATATTACCTACAAATTTTTTTGTGCTTTCCATGTTCTTAATAGTCAGTTAAAGCCAATTAATGAGTTTCATTTTCTTATTTGGTTCTCACAAATGCAACCTCCTTGATTTATACAGTCTGAAGTCTGGACTATGGATCTTGTTAGCATAATTACATATTTTTATCATTGGCAGGCTGTTTCAGTTAGAAAAATATTTTCGTACATCATCCGGACGTTGCAGTAGATATCAGATCAGGTATTAAAGAGGTGAAGACGGCATACATAAACATTCTCCTCGGCCTCATCAAGACACTAGACAAGTCTCCTCAGAGCTTGTCTGACACTGAGCTAACAAACGCTGAAAGCGAGTTGAACGAGTTAACGGAAGCTGGCTTTAAGCTGGATTGGTTGAAACCAAAGTTTTAGGAGGTTTGCTTGAAGAGGAAGCAAGCTTCTTCTTCCCCTAGAGTTTCTCCGTTTGAGTGCATAGATTTTTTGGTGAAGAGATTCTTTTTGTCTTGCTTCTCAGAACACTAACTGCGAATTCACTGTTTTAGTTTGTAATCGTATCATCACTTTCTTTCAGACAAGTTTGAATCCATATAAAGTTTTTTAATTTCATTATTTGCCATGTTGTCATCAAACTACTCCTTGTTTGATTGTCTCCCAAGAAATGTTATATAATTGGTAGAGAATGAATTTCCACACACTTCCACAAACATTTTGTAAGGTGGCTTGCGCCACAAGTTTTTATATATAACAGAGACGCTGTAAACATGGGAGTTGCACTTCTTGTGAATTTTTATACTCTCGCAACACCACCATAAAATTAAAACTATCAGATATGCCAAATTGTCTACTTCTCTATAAAGGGCTAATTAAAAAATAAAATACCGAAGAATAAAAGCCTATTATATTAATGTACTTCCGGTGGGAAGTATTTTAATTGTATTTCTTTATGAATGATTTGTAAGTGATAATCTATATGAATATGGTTGATGTGTTGACTTCAAGTACTTGTACTTAATATCACATTAGCATATATGGAGAAATTCTCTGGTTCACTTCTTGCCACTTTCCTCTCATGCAAGTTCAAATCACTATATAACCAGTTAGCTCATCTCTCGCCTGTTTTGGTCCTTTTTATCTTCCTTTAGAAATCATGTATGAGTGAATGTGATACAGACAAAACACTTGGTAAGGTGACTTGTTGTGCAAGTCTTTCATTATGAAAGAGAGGCACAACAAAAGTGGTGATTGGAATATCAAAATTGTATTCCTGGATATATAAACGTGAATCTTGATATTTCCGATGATAATAGCTATAGTTATAACTATGCGAATAATAAATTATATTTAGCCAATAAAAGCTTGGTTTAAAATCTAGTGAAGGGACAACTTAAGATCTACGATCTTAAATCAAAATCTGGCAAACAATGAAGAAGAAATCATACTGAAAACTATAAAGACTCAACTAAAGATCATAATATAATTAGCTCTCCGCTTTCAACTTGATCTCAGCTTTGAGATTATACATCATCAGCTCAAGATTCTTCAACTGTTTTCCAAGTTCCAGAGCCTGAGCTTCATAACAAGAGAGTTTCTTCCTCTCCACGGAAACCTTCCCAAGCTTTTTCCACAACCATTCCAGCTCAAAACCAGCTTGTGACAGATCAAGCAAACCCTTGTAAACGTCACGTAGCTCCCCCTCAGTGAGCTTCTCAAGAGGACTGTTATATAGTTTCTCGTAGATTCTGAGGAGAATGTTCATGTATGCTGTCTTAAGCTGTGGATCTTGTGGCCGAATATACAATGCAGTTTCCGGGAAACTCTCAAAAATCCACTTTGCGGACTTTACTTGCGAATCAAGAACTTGGAAGCCATTGACACACACGGTCTCCTTCTTCTTTTCGGGTAAGACATGTTGATCAAGTAGACCTCCAACATTATATAAATCTACGTAGACTTCAATTTTAAGTTTGTCGTTCACAAGAAACATTTCCTTTTGAAGTTTGGTAAGACGCAAGGCCTTTTTGAAACCCCGGTTTGACTTGCACGCGTTGAAGATGTGAGTAGTTTCTGTCCAAGAGACAAATAAAAAAAATAAACATTGTAATTTCTAGAGAAAACCGGTTGAATAGTTGCAATTTGTGAAATTAAAAGATAGGGTTTTTTATTTGTATGACCTAGACGTTTGGACCTGGCAACGTTGGATTGGTTCACGATAACAAAGCGAAACTTAGCATGTCTCCACCATCCTTGAGACAGTGAGAGAGAATTTGCAACATCTAGATACATAGACATGTGTGTATTGATACCGTTACCCTTGGGATATAAGGTAACATACCTAGAAAAAATTAAAATCAAACTAAACTATACATGATCAAAACCTTAAAACGTAAATTTTAGAATATAAATCCACATTAATTTTAGTTTTTTACCAGTTGCAGGAGTAGCTTCTAAACAGATTCGACCGTATTGGAGCATTCCTTTGGGAGAAGTAGTTTATCTCCATAGTATAACTTGGTGTTTTCGTCATCATGTCTTCAAATCGCTTGTTGATGATATTAAGGTTTGGTATATTGTGATTCATGCGTAAGCCAAATCTTCTTTATATATATATAGGAGGGGGAAACTAAATTGCGAATTTTAATTGAACTAGATAACTTTAAAATGAATAAAAGTTATATTTAAATATTTTTGTTAATAAATTTATCTTAGTTAGTTAATTAAATACAATCTATCTATCTATCTATACTATTATTTAAGAAGTGATTTTTCGCAACGGAGCTCTCACTTTAAAAGTTAGACCGGCTAATATCGATTACTAGGTGTTTTGCATGCACTTGCGGGCTTAATAATTTTACTAATATCTATAAACAAATATATAATCAATTTAAGTAAATTATAATAAATTATTGTGCATACACTCAAAACATTTAATAATAATCTAAACATATTCTTTTTATATATAAATTTTTCATCACCATAGAAATAATTATCCTTGCACAAATTAAATGTGAAATTCTCATAAATTTAAAATATTTAGTAATAAATTAATATGTTTTCTAGACATAACAAAAAGAAGTATAATGAAATTAACTTTAGTAATGTTTTGGATTACACAATAAAAATTATCTATACATATATTCTTTGAAAATTGATTTTTTCCTAATTAAATATATATTAACAAATATATATTAACAAATATAATTATTTTTCAAGGTTAATAAAGACTTTATAACATGATATAAAAAAGTTAGATAAGGATAATTATCAAATTCATGAAATTCGTTTTTAATTTAAAATTAATTATATATTAACAAATATAATTATTTTTCAAGGTTGATAAACATAATATAATTTTTTAAATAAGGATAAATATCAAATAAATGAAATTCGTTTTTAATTTATAATTAATTATATATTAACAAATATAATTATTTTTCAAGGTTAATAAAGATTTTATAACCCAATATAAAATAGTTTTAGATAAAGATAAATCTAAAATCAATTGAGATTCGTTTTTTATTTATGTTTAATTATATATTGAAATTTTTAATTATTCATTAAGGGTATGAACGATATTAACCACTCCAACTTTTAACGTGAGAACTCCGTCGCGAAAAATCACTTCGCAAATAATAGTATAGATATCCTTAATGAAATATATCTATATAATTTATGATATAATTAAAAACGAATTTGATATAATAATATTAGATTTATATGTTTTCTTAGATAATTATAAATTAGTATAATAGAATTATCAAAAATAATTTGTTTTCTAAAAAATAAGATAATTCGTATATATTGTATTTTTATCTGGAAATAATACTGTAACAACATGATAATTATTTATATCATTCTTAATGAATAGTTAGATTTATTTATTAGATTAGATTATTGATTAACATTAATAAAATAAAAAGTTAGCCAAAAATAAAAAATAAATAAAAATTTATTTTATTAGATAAGTAATTTAAAACTGATATCTGTACTACTATCCAAAAAAAAATAAAAATTTATTTTAATACAAAGTATTTATGTATGATCAGAAACTTTGTATATATAAAGATTCTTTCATTTAATTTTTTATTAAATATTTTAAATGTATGAACAATAATTTATTTTATAATACTTGAATTGATATTATATATTTATAAATAGTTGTATAACTAATAAGCGCGCATATGCGGGCAAAATACCTAGTACACTATTATTTGCAAAGTGATTTTTCACAACGGAGCTCTCACATTAAAAGTTAAAGCGGTTAATATCTATATTACCCTTAATGAAATTTATATATAACTAATTTTATAATTAAAAAAATTTAGAAAATAATACTAGATTAGTATGTTATTATCTTAGATAACTGAGAATAATTAATATAATAAATTTATAAAAAAATCAAAATATATTTTCAGATAACATCACAATATATATCGGAATTATCTTATTTAAAAAGATATTATTTAGATTTTGGATAATTCTTATGATTATTATTGATTTTAGTTACTTAATCAAAATAATTTAAATTCGTTTTTATTTTTGGCTAATTTATATATTATTTTTATTAACGGTATAAACGATATTAACCACTCCAACTTTTAACGTGAGAGCTCCGTTGCGAAAAATCACTTTGCAAATAATAGTATAGATATTATATATTTTGGATAATTCTTATTATTATTATTGATTTTAGTTACTTAATCAAAATAATTTAAATTCATTTTTATTTTGTATGTAATTTATATATTATTTTCATTAAGAATATAAACGATATTAACCGTTTTAACTTTTAATATGGGAAATTCGTTTCGAAAAATCAATTCACAGATAATAATATAGATAGATAATACTACTTACCTCAGGCTTAGGAACAACGTGGTGATAATTTTTTTTTTTTTTTTATCAAATAACGTGGTGATAAATATAAACACAAAATATAAGTGGAACCATATATATATGAGAGTAATAAACCCTAAACTAAGAGAGAGCTTCTGGGAAGTCATGGCTAACCACAATGAGAAGATGACTTACTCTTTCGAGATAAACAACTACTCCCAAAGGAATACTGTATTTACGACACCTATATTCTCAACCCGTTCCTGCAACTGGTAAAAAAAACAAGAATTAAGCCTATATATAGCTTTTGATACTCCACATGTTACTGACTAATTTAAACTAACTTTTGTTTGTTTTATTTTTCTTAGGCATGTTTACGTATATCCCAAGGGAGATATACATACTAACAAAATGTCTCTGCACCTACAAGTTCCAGACTATAACTTACGGCCTTTGTATTGGTCGAGACGGACATCCTTTCGCTTCGTCGTTGTCAACCCATCCGACGTTAACAGTTCCCGAAGTTTCAGTAATTTTTCTTTTTAAAGCCCTTCGTTTAATTAATTTCACTAAACATGAAAAGATATATAATAATTATAAGAAAAAAAAAAGCATTTTTAATTTCGATATGATTTTCTTAATTTTATTTTTGTTCCACAGTAACTACTAACCACACTTTTATCAAGGAACTGCCAAGCTACCGTTTTAGAACGGACTTGAGTCTTTCCAAACTTCAGGAGGGGAAGTTTCTTGTGAACGACACTCTCAAAATTGAAGTCTACATAGGTTCTATCTATGTTCATGGTGGACTAGATCCACATGTCTTACCCGAAAAGAAGAAGGAGACCGTGTGTGTCAATGGCTTCCAAGTTCTTGATTCGCAAGTAAAGTCCGCAAAGTGGATTTTTGAGAGTTTCCCGGAAACTGCATTGTATATTCGGCCACAAGATCCACAGCTTAAGACAGCATACATGAACATTCTCCTCAGAATCTACGAGATACTTTATCACAGTCCTCTTGAGAAGCTCACGGAAAGTGAGCTAAGTAATGTTTCCAAGGGTTTGCTTGATCTGACACAAGCTGGTTTTAAGCTGGAATGGTTGAGGGAAAAGCTTCAGAAGGTTTCCGTGGAGAGGAAGAAACTCTCTTGTTATGAAGCTCAAGCTCAGGAACTTGAGAAACAGTTGAAGAATCTTGAGCTGATGATGTGTAATCTCAAAGCTGAGATCAAGTTGAAAGCCGAGAGCTAATTATATTATGATCTTTGGCTACGTCGTTCTAGTTTAACTATATCTCATGATTTTTTCTCTTTTTTTTTGTTTTGTTTGCCAGGCTTTGATTTAAATCAATTATAGCTTTTCATATATTTTGATATCTAGAAGTCAAATGTTTTTCAACACAATATTCGGTTTTTTTAGATTGTACTTGTTAAACATTTCTATTAAAAAAAAACGAGATTCTAAGTTCAAAACCTTAATAAGTTCCTTTCCCATCATTAAAGAAGCACGGAAAGCAATTCTTGTCAAGGGCTTAGAAATAAAATTAAGATGAAGCAAATATGAGAACCAAGATTTTAAGAATATCTAGCAGATGGATATGTGCGTAGAAAAATTGTCTCCAGTTTGCTTCCACAATTTGTGAAACTGTCTGTCAAAAAGTGTTACACTAACATTATAAGTGGTTTGCTAGAACTTGGTAGTGTGGTATACTATATGTTACAGTAAGTTTTGTTTTTTCTTTCCTATAAACAGAGGATTTGCTTTGAGCTTTATTCCTCAAAGTACCATTTGTGGGGGATTCTGGAGAAGGATTCTTCACTTATATTTACCTGATAATACTGAGCCACGAAAAGAGCCCACAAATCTTTAGAAGCCCGACTGAAAAGTCTGGATGACGGTGGATCTCACTGAATCCGACTTGCTCGGCTTAGCGGTTAGTTAACGTCACGCACCGACTGGCTATCATATTGTATTATCCGAATTTAAATATCTTCTAATTAATATCAGAAATAGTCAGATCGTTTGTTACTAGAATATATAATGTAGATCATTTGTGCTGAAATCTAAATCCAAACTAATTAAGCATGTTTCTAACAGAAATTAAAATCAGTGCAAACGGGTTTATGCCTTACTTCAAGAAATTACCATCAAACTAATGCATGCCTCTCTTTTCTCCAAAATTGCACTTGAAGCTTTTTCTGCTTCGTAGTTTTGATGATAAGGTGCTGTCTTTGGTTAGTTTTACTTTACACATATAAAAATATACTACTAGACTTCGATGTTTTTGTGCCGAACAAACTGTTATGCATCATCCCCCACAAGAACTTTTGTATAATACATTGCATAAAGGTCCTCTTCCGTTTTCAAACTTTAGTAGAGTTTGCTTAGACAACAAAAAAAAGGAGTTAATAGTAGCGTTGGCTCATTTTGATTTAGCATTCAGCTAGGCCATTAGACAAATAAGTATTGGAACACCTATGATGTTTTGTATACTTGAAATAAAATAAAATAAAAATCATAAAATAGGTGTTCCAGTATCTCTTGCAAAGGACAACCATTGTTTGCCTTAAAACTTACTTAATCGATTGTATTACGTTAACCAAACCATTTCCTTATATTGAGGTTTAGACTTTGAATTTTTGCCTCTCATTCAAACCAAAGTACACATGCCCAAGTATTTCCATATAAGCAAGCAATTTTAAAATGTTTCAGCAAAATAGCAAGCAATTAATTTTAAACTAAAGTCTTTAATTAATAATATATTTAGTTGATCTGAAACGCATTCATTTGACAGGAAATAGTTATTTCTCATATATAAACCAACAACATCACTTTCACCGTTCTATCTTGTCTATCAATTAAATATGTAGATATTGATTGTGCATTACATGTATATAGAGAGTGCATGCATATACTATACATATGCAACGATAAGTTCGGGTGCATATATCATTTTAAGGTTAGCAATAAATGGAGTATATTTTGTTTTCATTTTTTGGCATGAAAAAAATCTGTTTAAGATTTCTCAAAAAAAAAAAAAAATTCTGTTTAATCTTAGTTTTGATTAATTGAAAATCATCTAACTTCTTAATAAGGTTGAAATTCATAAATATTTTTTATAACAATTGTAGGATATTCAAACCTCAAAAAAAACAAGTTAAGGAGAATTGTTTAGATACGTTTTCACTTTTCACCAAAACAGTCCGGTCATGTAAAAAAAAAACACTCAGACCATTTAACTTGCAGTCATTATTTCAGACCAATAGATTATTTAATACTCATAGACATATCAAATAGGGAGGAGAAGCAAGTGTACCTAACATCACTGAGAACCCATCAACATTATATAGGCCTAGATGCGTACTTAAACGTAATCGTACACCAAATGAATCCACTAATGCGAACATAATGTTTTGTTATTATATGTTGAGTATAGTTTTCTATCATAATCTTATGTATGTTTATAATCTGAATATTGCCACATATGCTGATATACATGGTTTAATACTTCAGAAATATAGTTTTCTATTATAATTTATAGTATATTTTCTACACTTGTGTGTAGCTTTAATTATAGAGTATAAAACAAAAATCTTTTTAGTATAAAACAAAAATCATCTTAAGAAATCAGCCAAATTCCATATACGTGTGATGGGCCACATTGTCGGGGTTGACCGTTGTCATGCTAGAACATGTCAGCATCATTTTCAGTATCTTATGGGGTTTTTTTAAACTAATATTCACATAACATACATTTAAATAAATACAGATGAAAGATGACTTAACAATATGGATTTTTGTTCTAATTCTCCATATATTATATTCAACATATAATCTTTGAATTTACGTACAAAAATAAATAAACAAAATTAAAAAATGAAGTCCTTTCGTTACACCAAGATTCCTCTCTAACGTTACATACCGATCACTAGAGCTGGAATACACGTGAAATTTGAAAATATGTGAACAGCTCAGTCAGAGTGTGACACAAACAATTTTTTTATTTTAGTTCAAATCTTTAGGATCGCATATTAACCAATCTATTAGTATAAATCTGTAATTAATATTTCTCGTGTTATATGGATCGACAACCCTGACCCACCCATTTAAAGTTGAATATATTTCACATTCAATACATTTTCCCGCTGTCTCTACTGTATTTGTTGGCTCATTCCAGAATATATATGTTTATTTGCTCATTGGTTATAACCTGCACAAACAAAATATTGCATTGATTAGTGCAGACGTTAACCGGTCTTAGTCGGGTTGCTTGATAATGATTTGCATTTATATGGTAAAAAAAATTGTTTCCTTAGATGTTCAATAGTATTTGATTTTAATTTTGTTCTTATATTTAGAAGGTAAGATGATTTTTTTTTTTAAATCGAAGTTCAGTGGTATTTAGATTTCATGTCGGTTTTAATTTTTGTTCTTTAGAAATGTACATAATTACAACTGAACTCCTCAGTTTAATTCGGAAAAATATCAGGTATATTATAATTTTGTTTAGCAAACCATATATGTTAGTTTTTTTGATGTTTCAGTCAACTTATATTGCCCCCATCCCTATTGAATGTTTAGACAAAATATGTCAAAAGTATTGTTTTGTATAGTATATTCAGAATACATATATAAGGCATAGCTAGATTTAACTATAAGTTCGAGATTATGTTTAAAGAAAATCTATAGGAGTTTTAAGTGGTAGAAGGCTGTTGATATTCGAAGCCTCCAACATTAATCTAGATGAAACTATAAGGAAAAATGATTGATCAAGAACATCAATATAATATGACTCCTACTACATATATATATATATATATATATATATATATATATATATATATATATATATATATATATATATATATATATATATATATATATATATATTAGTGGTTGGTTTTGTGTATAGCTTCTTCCTTTTGTACTAGCTATAGTTAATTAAGCTTTTCGTGCATATGAATTAATATTATCATCTATGCATCATAATTGAAATTCATCATTTTATCATTGTAGTTTTTCTACTTTCCCCAATCCTAATCGATTCTAAACTTTACTAAAATAATGAACAAGACAGGTGTAGGCCACTAAATAGACAATGTGATATCATATGATTTATTATATGAAAATGAAACCCACTTACCTTTATCTTCGTCTTTATAAAACTTCCCCAAAGCGAGTGCTCCTACATTCTCAAAGCTAATCGAGGTCAATTTTAAACACCATTCATCAAAAGACCATGACTGGCTCTGGCTCTCCCTGTGGAGCTTGCAAGTTCTTAAGAAGAAAATGTATATACGGATGTGTGTTTGCTCCATACTTTTGCCATGATCAAGGAGCATCTCATTTTGCAGCCATTCACCAAATTTTTGGAGCCAGCAATGCTTCAAAATTGCTCTCTCAACTTCCCATGGAATATCGGTGTGAAGCTGCCATTACAATCTATTATGAAGCTCAAGCTCGTCTCCAAGATCCCATATATGGTTGCGTTGCTCATATATTTTCCCTCCAACAACAAGTAAATATAATTTTGCTAAGCAAAAAAAAAGAAGTAAATATAATTTCCTCAGTAAACTCTAATTTTGATTATGGATATAACAGAAATATGAATGTCATATTGTAAACATATATACAGTATATTCATATTATGGATCTATTAATCATTAGTGGTGTTTGTTATTATGTGTAGGTTGTGAATTTGCAAGCCCAGTTAGAGATTCTAAAACAACAAGCAACACAAAGCATGATGGCTACTGATACGCCACCCATAGAAAACCCTAATTACTATCGTGGGACTAAGCTTCAGCAACTTCAACAATCTCTAGATCTCCATCGTCATCATAATAATCATCATCAAGACAGAAGTTTGGAGACAGAGTTGATCAACTCCGATCTTAAAAATATAATGACGTCTTACACTGAATTAGATCAACACTTGAACACTTTTAATCAGCATCATAATGACGGCAATAATATCCTATCCGCGAGTTTCGGGTACATCTCGCATTCGTGATGATTATGGTGAAGATATGGTTGAACACATCAAAGACATATTATAATTGTAATCATTAACAGTAGGTAAGAACTCTAATTCAAATAGAGTTGAAAACATATTATAGATTGTTGCCTTCCAGTTTCTTTGTCTCTTTTTCCTTGTTAATTTTTGTTTGGAGGACATTCATAAATAGTAACGGCCATGACAAATGCTATTAACAAGAAGGAAAAAGCAATCGTGACATATATTCACTCTATAAATTAGTAACACAATTCACAGTAATGCAAAACATGTTGCTATTAGAAAGCATTTTTATCTTATTATTTCAAATTTGACTTGTTTTCTCGCTTTAGTGACAGAGTAGTCAAAAGTATTATAAACCCAATAGGGCCGTTTAAAAGTGCATTGGGCTTACTTTACCAATAGTGGGCCTACAACGCACAGATTAAAAAAGGAGAACTGCGAGGTGGGCCCCTCGAGTAAATGATACAAAGCAGGCCACACGTGTGATATTTCAACAGTCAAAGACTTTGAATGTACTTAAGCCACAGGGCCCACGTGCGTTAACTCCTGCAGTTTCAATCTATTTCTCATCAATTTCTACAGAATATATAATTGACAAGATGACAACAGTTCGTGTTTATTCCCTGTCAATTGACACGTCACTGAACTAAAATATACGCACTACAATGATGAAGTTACTTTATTTAAAATATTAACTTTATTTAACAAAAATATAATGTCATATTTTTTTTGATAAAATAAATATAATGTCATATTGTTTTTGAAAGTTGAAAATATAATAACATGCCCTCTGCAGTGGTAATGAAAATAACATTTCTTCTACATCCAATTAACCTCGGTGATGTGCGTTTTTTTTTATTTCTCCCTGACGTTTTTAATGTATATCCGGAATATATTGGCTTGTATATTATGAATTTGCAAACATATATACGTTTCTCGATGAATGTCTAAGTGGTGGTGTGATATCATGCTTTGACCACCCTCTTTTGATCTGTTCAATATAATAATAGAGATTTGATAAATTTGGTCTTTGGTAATGGGCTCGAAGAGTTTCGGATATTATTTAATAAACATACACATGCATAAACGGCTTGACTAAGAATAGGCATCGCCGTACGTATTGTTATTCATAAATCATAACTCTTCACAACCGTAATTAATAACCTTTTGATAAAAAACTTGGTTCGGAAAGTTCAATGCATCCCACGTAAATCATACTCCGTATCATACTTTAATCTTAAGGTCGATAAGAGTAATTCTAAAAGCTGTTAATCGTGAATATATATTAGGAATCCAAATTTCCAATCTTTAGCATACATGTCGAAGAAACCAACATGTTGATATTATCATGACTAAGTAGTCAATAAACAAATAAATTGACACATTTACCTCTATATGTGGGTAGCATGGCAAATGTTAAAACAGAAAGATACGCTCAAATTATACTTTGTTAATAAATAATAACTGTCAGACTTATAGGATTTACTGATCTTGTGCTTAATTTAACATGTTTCCCTTCTAATGAATAAGTTGTTTACAATGCATTGATTAGGTTATCTCGAGATTACAAACCACAAAGTCCTTTCTCAAAAGACTAAAAGAGAGCTTGTGACTTAAGATGTGGACAACAACGGAAGCTTCTCGGTGGAGAATTGGGTTAGAGTTAGATGGGATTGATTAGAGTTGGCAAAGCAAAACTGATTAAAGATAACCAATTGAATTTAGTTTAGTTTAGAAGATTGCATGCAATTTAGGGGACATTTTGTCTAATATGGCCACTACAATTTGTATGGGGGATTGGTCCTATCATAATTAACTAGACGCTGCTTAGTTAATGTTAGGTAAACATGTTTGTTTAATGTAATATTAATGCGTGGTCCATTTATATATATACTAATAATTTACAAATGAAATGATTTTGATGATTTGCTTCTCTGACAGACAATCATAACATACATCCCTCCTATGTTCTTCAGATGTTTTTTTAAGAGAGGTTTGTTTATCTTTAGTTTTATGTCTTCTATATTTATTTATTTTTTTCTTTTGCAAACTTTCTTCTTTATTTTTTCACTCCTTAAGAAATTAGATTATTTTATATTAAGAAAAAATTAGATTCTTTATAAAGAAAAATATAGTTGACTTCTGTCTCTTTTTTAATCGCTTAGACCATATGCCTTTTAGCCTTCATAGAGATGCTAAAAGCAATTGTTAGTAGACATTATTAATTACAAGCACATACGTAGATCAATTCATAGAGAAGTAAGAATATGTATTTTAGGTTTTAACCATCCACAATACGACACCCTCAACTTACAGTTTTGTATATTCAAATACATTGTGATTTATGTTGAACATTCATACTTTTTGTTGTTAAAGAAGGTGAACATTTATACGTTAGCTAAAATCTGTTTTATATCCACGCAGAATAATGACATATACATTCGTAACGAGCAAAAAAAAAACTACTAATAGGAGCATAGTGAATTATGTACTAATAATTTTTGGAAAATAGATTTCTATAAGTGTGTCGTGTAAATCAAAGTCAACCCCTTGGATGGCGCGCACAGTTACTATGTTTGTAAGTTATGGTAATTTAGAGAATCCTCGTTAAACAAACGCATACATGGTGATGAATCTCTGCCTACATAGAAAAAATAGAAGCATTTATATTACTGACATAAAACTCCATCCTATTATCTTATATTATCTAAACTCGTATAGCATGCATTACATTCTTTGTGTAGTTTTCATGGAAGAAACAATAGCTTAGTGTTGAGTAGACAGTCCTCAATCAGTTTAATCTTTTGAATTCGATTTATTTTGGGGGCTAATCAAAAGCTTATGATAATCTAAGACATGCAATTATCGTCTCTGTGAAAGTGAATTTCGAATTATCAGTAGAAACATCAATATTGTTCGACAAACGCAGCCATTGAACTATTACCAATCCTGTTGGTTTTACGTTTAGAAAATTTTAGAAATTGATGATGCAACCAAATCATGCTAATATGTTTTCTTATCTTTTTGTTTCTTCTCGAATGAAAAAAAACATCTCATTTCTTCAACAGCTGTCTACATAAGTTAGCACCTTATCTTAATTCTTCATCATTCTAAGAGCCAACGCCTGAAGCTCACCTAACTCGCTATTACAATAATTCATGACTGATCTTTTTTTGTTAGGATATCCTTCGTGAAACCCTAACCCACCGTGACCATATACGCCACCTCCAGTTTGCTGAGTCTCTCGCACATTAGCTGTTGTAGTGACATCACTGCTCGTGTTGCTGAAAGTTTCTTCTAGCGAGCTCTGTGGTGAGACCGGATTATTAGGGTTTACGTGACCGTAGTAAGGTTGATGATGATGGCTATATGGTGTTGAGTATGCACTGCCGATAGGAGAGCCACTAGTTTGTTGCCACGTGGTGAATTGGTTAGTACTTTCCGAGCTGTTTCTTAGATCTCCGGCGGCTGGCATCTGGTGGCCGGCGATCTGTGCCTTCATTTGCATGACTTGTGTTTGCAAGTAAGCCACCTATGTATAACCGAATCAAACGCTTACTGTTAAACAAGATTGATTCAATTCTATTCAAAATGTTGTAAACTCATATGCACGAACTAGTAAAAGCTCATTCTTCATGAAGATATATGTAAATTTGAAGTGTTTCTAAATATATTAATTTAATGTACTACGTATTTATAATGGTTAATTTTCCAATAATAATTAAAAGAATCTTAATCACCAAAATTTCCGAAACATCTATTTTCTAAAATATCAAAGAGCTAGTGCCATTGAACATGCATCTATCTATATGAAAAGGAAAGAGTTAGTATTATTTACTAGATCTTGGCGAGTCATCAGTCAATGCCAAACGCAACAAAGAAGAACGTCATGGCATAAATTTATTGAAAAACTGATTGCTGTAACGTTTTCCTATGAACTATATTATTGTAATCTCAAACGGTTATAAAGTTTCTTGTATCAAACAAAACAAAGACTAATGTGAAAACAAACATTTTTATGAAAATTTTATTTGATACTTATTCCTTAAGATTTTCTTGAAAATTAAACAACATGCACTAATAAAATACCAATTAACACGACCACATAAATTCCTCAAAGTGACTACAAAATTGATGGATTAGTAACAATTGCTCAGTTGATATACGTACCTGTTGTTGGAGAGCGAAGATGTGAGAGACACATCCATATACAGGATCATGAAGACGAGCCTGAGCTTCGTAGGCGATGGTGACAACAGCTTCGCATCGATCATGGATTGGGACATTGAGCAAGAGCTTAGAGACGTTGCTAGCTCCAAACACCTTGTGAATAGCTGCGAATCTTGCTGCTCCTTGCTCCGATGAGAAGTAAGGTGCGAATATACAACCTGATGCACACTTACGCCTCAGGAACTTGCACGCACCGCACGGTGAACCTGCCCCTGCCGTGGTACCGTTGCCAGAAGTTGCCATCGATGAAACAGACAAAAAGGGGTTATGATTTTTATGTTAATTTGTACTAAAAAGAAAGAAGGATTCTCTTGTTCTCTTTAATTGTGATGTTTTTGTAAGATTGTTTTTAGACTTGGGATCGTCGGAGATGTGCACGAGCGAACTAGGAAAGGGTGATGGAGGAAAAAGAAAAAGAAATGCAATGATGATGGAGAATTGCTTAGTGTCCTTGGGTGGATTTTATAAAAGGGACACTGTGATGAGAGAGAGATATCTTTTTTTCTTGAGTCGACTTTTTTTTCCCTTTATAATCACATATAATATATACAGTAGTACTATTTTAATTAGTTTTTTTTTGTCTACCATAATGTGTAATCTTTGTATTTATAATGCTTTTCTTTTTAGTTACCATCATGTATATTGCTTTATTCTCCATCACAAGAGTTTGAATTTTGAACCATACATATGTCGTTTAGAAATTGTAATATGTAATGACAGTATAAATGTTATATATATATATATATATATATACTGAATATAATATAGAAACTAATTATCTAGAAATGATTTTCAATATGCGTAGCTGAAGTATGTAATAATCATTTGCAAATTCCGTGTGAGCCCTCTTTCAACTCAAACAAACCTATACATGCTTCATAGTCTTAGCTTTAAACTAATACTTGGAAAACATATAAAATTAAATCACTCAGAGCTATAATTAAATTTATCCATAGATAATTCTTAAGAAAGTGTGTATAAATATAATCAAACCAAAAAATTAGAAATGTATATGTAATACTATATGATATAATCGGTTCATATAAGTTATTTATAACATTTGTAATCATTCTAAATTTATTTCATCCGCAATATAGAATATATCCATTCATAGCATTAGCTTCAAACTAGCATCAGTGACACATCATTTTTGCTGGTAAATGCTAACTACACTTGAATATTACTTTTTAAAAGTCCGTGTCTCAACCATTATTGGTTTAAAAGTTTGAAACTCAAATAACACTAAACATTTATCTATACGATATGTAACAATCTTAAATTTGATATTTCAGGGAAGCCAAATAAAGACATTATATTATTCTGACTGCAGATCAATCATGAACTAATATACAGTATACATCCAAATGTATAAGAAGAACTGCCTTGTTTATGACAATTAACATTTAGTGATGATATATTTATATAAATAAAAAGAATGCAATTTATGTCCATATTTTTCGAGTGAGCCAAAGGGTGTGAATGGTAGACAATGGAGGGTCACATGTTGGATACAAGGGAGACACTCAATAATGGAGATTGCAACTTAAGGCTTCTATTTTACTATTAAAATTTATTTTGTAAATTAATGGATTTTAATTTAATTAGCCCAACTCTTCTTTCTTTTCATTTGTGGATTTCTACAGAAAAATATCCATATTCTTAGTAATGAGGTAGTCTTAGGTCTCCTATCACTTTTTCATATATTATTTTATACATGGTACGTTTGTTTTTTTGGAGTTTCATCAAAGCAAACTCAGTTAGTTAATTATTTTGTTCTATCTTTCTTTGTTTAATCTCTTTAATTGAAAGTAGGAAAGTTATTTTATAAATTCTTCCGCCGAACGCCGGACACTGGAACTGCTGCTTGTTTGTCGTGATGTGGAGGGACCGGATAAACCGGCAAATGCCGGTGAAGGTGTACCGACAAATGCTAATGCCATGAATGTATTTGGAGCCATTTTATGTAGTATAATTGTTAAGTACGTAATTATAAACTATTTAACATCCCATTATGACAAAACAAAACACTAAAAAGCTCTTAAATTTGATTGATTGTACTGGATCTGCTTAGGTGGCTTAGGAATATTCGTTTACATGGAGTGAGTGTATAGCTGGTACAGACTACTATTCAAATCACCTGAGGAGATTATCAGAAGTTTAATAATGTTTTATATGCCAAAAGAATTTGATATAATGTACTTACGGATTTGGTACACGAATGGGAGATTGTGTGATTGCAATTCGGATAGTGTGTGCATGTGACTTTCACTTAACATTCGTGTTCTTAAAATTACGAGGATATGATAATAATTGGTAATTTTGTTATTGTTAATATTTTATACTGGAGAATGTGTATTGACAAAACTTGAAGATATATAAATAAACTTCTTCACTTTGGAAGGTTTCTCCATCACGCCTGACTAAGCAAACATATCTCTTTGTGTTTAATACTTGCATGCACTTCCCATCTGAGTTTTAGAATAAAATAATATCAATTTTTTTTTTTACAAATTTCAGTTTGAAGTTCAAATATGGTTGAACGCATAGTTTTATACCACTAGAGTTTGGAGAAATAAATAGGAGTAAGTGAGAAAAAAAGTATTCTATGTTTAACTATCAATTCAAAAATCTCGACAAAGTAATTATATGAATAACTGAAATGAATCATATCATATTTTAAGCCCCATGACCGGGTGATTGTAGTCGAGTGGTAAGGAGATGGGGCTGAGACACCAACATATTTCAGGTTCGATCCACGTGCTGCGCGAAACTAAATCACAATTATCCTGGTCACCTAACACGGATATGGGCCTATACTTTAGGGCCCATTTGAATACCCGGAGAGAGGGTCTATCCGTGGGCTGCACCTCCCCTTGGGGATTAGTCTAGGCCTCTCCATGGGCCTAGGATATTCCCAGGTTAATCAAAAAAAAAAAAAAATTTTAAGCCCCATGTTAATGTAATGTTATCTCCCGCAATAAGATATTTCCCGTCGGTATAAACAAAATAGTTGAGAGACTGATTAGTGAAAAGAAAAATGGGCTGTTAAAGCCCAAATGAGTTGAATATGTGGCTCAAAAAAAGAAATGCACCAGCCGGGAATCGAACCCGGGTCTGTACCGTGGCAGGGTACTATTCTACCACTAGACCACTGGTGCTTCGTTGATGACTATGCTACAACAATTTATTCAGATAAATCGTACGTTCTCACTTTCGTTGTGGTCTTTGGTCGAAGTATGAACAATTTTTCTCACATTCAATCCAGTATATAAAAGTATTATTATGTATGTCAGGTGGTTCAAGAGATCAATCACCTCAGACAAAATAAAGAGAATCTTGGTTTGGAAAGAACCGGTGAGAAGACATAACTAGAAGAAGCATGTGATTTTGAGATATAGACAGAAGTCAATGTGATTGGACAGTTAACAAATCCTATAAGTTTTACAGTTTTATCCAAATAATCTCTGGGTTTGCTCTAATCAATTCCTCATCGCTATTACAAGAAGCAACAACCAAACCTAAAAGACATTATAGTATCTACTGGTGTGAGTATAATTGACAATGAGAGGCGATTATTGTAAAAATAAGAACAAGTATAAAAAACTTGGGGGTAAATATGTAAGAAGAAATAAATATATTAGGGTGCATGACGAAAAAACTCTTACCTTTCTTTTTTTTTTTTGATCAAAAAACTCTTACCTTTCACATCACTCAAACACAAGCAAACTCGCTGTAATTATTATTCATAGAAAAGGGAAGAATCGATCGGGAAGGTAGAGATTAGTGAGGAAAGTGATAGATTCTGAAAATGGAAAGGTGATGATGGGTTTGTATATTGAATTAAAATTGTTGGGGCAGATGGAAAATGTCAGATTAAATTTGTTCATGGGAAACCACAAACATCCCAAATGTATTGACCAAACATTCCATTTTCTTGTTTCCTTTTCACATCACTTGTTTCTGATTTTCTAATCTTGTCTCCTACACTCTTTGCTCTTGATCTGCCTCTCTACTCTGTACATTCATGATTAGTATATGTATACATACATATAGTTGACATGGAGTTGTATGTCGTAGCCAAAAAGCGTGAATTAATCAATACCTCTCAACTTCTTACATATAACAAAATTATATCGTAACAATATTTACAGGAAAAAAATCCTATATATATGTTTATTTACTTCCATCCCCATTAAGATGAAAGTCTTCCTTGAACTAGATACCATGACCTATAACAATTTGATATACGGAATATAACAAGTTAACCACACATACCATGAAGTGCATTCATGACATGCATGAGAATTACTACACATATTTATATTCAAAACTAAGCTTTATATGTGATGGTAAGTATACAAGATGAAAACATTAACTATTCATAAGTCAATTGATCATCATCCATCTTTATATGTTTCATAGTACACTTTGTCGCATGCGTCTGAGTCTCATCAGACATCAACCCATCTCTATAATAATGCAATCTTTATCACTTTTTCCTTTCTTAATACCCACATACACATGCAAGCCACATTTTCTTATTCTTATCTAGCTCCTACTTTACGTAATTCTACTCTGCATTTATAGATTATTATATATTTATATTATACCATTTCATAAATGAATCTGGTGTTTTGTTTATCAATACTTTCGTATATTGTGGAAAATTAGAAAAATAACAAAAACATATTTTACAAAAATTGAATCTCATTAAGGAATGTAAACACTTTTAGCAAACCATGGAAATACGGAAATTAAAAATGAAATCTTGAATATGTTATCAGAAAACATATTTTTGTAAATGTACAACACCCCTAGAAATAAATTGGATCGGCCTTTTCCAACTTTGTTTATTTTATTTTTTCCTTTTTCTTACTTCCATTTACTTAAAATGCACGTAATACCATTAAATTTCATTAGCCTAAATGCAATCACAATATCTTGCTCACTGCTCAGTATACATACATACCTTACATATAACCTTGTAGTTAAATTATTAATTAAAGTTATTTAAAGGCAGCCAAGTCGCAGCTCCAAATCAAGAACTTGTTTTGGATTCCTCAAATCCATCCCAAGCTCCAACCTCGTGACTCCATGTTTCTTGTTCATCAGATCCCCACGATTTATCTCACATTTTGAAGCACTCTTGTTGAGCTCCCTGCTACATACATTGCTCTTGTTCTTCTCTCTTTCCACAATTAAACCTCCATAGCTAGTAGTATTATCCAAAAGATCGAACCGGGCAGAAGAAAGAGGTGTCGTTTTGGACATCTGATTGGTAAGGGAAGGCTCAAGATGAGCTGGAGTTGTTGTTGAAGAAGAAGAGCTAAAATTAGGGTTAGGGTTAGGGTTGCGAACGGGTATGTGATGATGAGGCTCAAAGAGCCAAGAAGGGATCTGTCTGAGTTTTGCTCTGTCTCTTCTGTGAACATTCATGTGGCCTCCAAGTGCTTGAGCAGATCTAAAATCTCTCCTACAGAAGCTGCAAGTGTAGTTCTTGGGAGGCCATGGGATCAGCCCTGCTTCATAGCTATTGTAGAGATTCATGATGACTCTGTCGTTACCATTAGTGTCGCCTTCTTCTTCTTCTTGGGTGTTGTTTCTGCTGCTGAAACTTGCCAAATGTGTCCTCTTCATATTGTTCAACAGATGGTTATAGATGCTGATGATGAATGATGATGAGGATCCCCTGCGTGATATAAACAAAAGATGTTATATAAAGAGTGTATGATAATTACTTCAGAGGCAAGTAAGTGTAGGAAGATGAAAACCGTAGATAGATAGAGACTTTGAGTTTTGAGCGTGCTGGTGTTTTAAGGAAGAGGAAGATATATGGAGGAGTACTTACTGTGTTATATTATATAGAGAAGGTGGGTTTTTAATCTTTTCTTGAGGTTGTCTTTAAATTTACGGACTACCATTTATTAGGGCTTTAGTCTGTTACATGTTTGGTCAGATATATTGGAGAATAATGAGTATAGCTAGGCTATTTTCGATTAGACTTGATGAATTGGAAAAAAAAAATAAAGAAAGAAAGAGACAAAGAGGTAGTTTCATGATTAAGAAACAGAGACAGAGGTATTGAATGGAGGCTACTTAGTCATGATGCTCATGCCTGCAACGTGTCTAGTTTATTACTATAACTGGAAGTTACTTGAGACCAATGTTATTGTGGTATGGGGACTCTGTGTTGCATTTATATTTTTGTGTCAATATCTTGCCACTTCGTTTTCATCATATTCCTCTTCATTATTTCTGCACATACATACACATAAACATAGATAAATATGTACCGAGTTATATGTTAAATGCATCGAAAACACATTTCCTCTTATGGTATTGAGAGATGGGTATGATTTTATTATCGTGGATTGCAGTGGTAAAGGGCCAAACGATAGCAAAATATATTAGTAGTTGATTTTGACATTGAGTAGAAATTACTGTATACAATAAAGGAAATAAACAAGGCTTGTGTTTGCATTAACGACATAGACAATGACGTTTTGATGGCTTAAGATTTGTTGCAGCTTATGCCTATAATTTAACAAACTTTACATTTGAAACTGAACTAATTAACGAACTTATCTACTATGTTAATGTCACAAACGAGATTTGAGTATGGGACACAAAATTAGCAGCCCATCTAGATAAATCATATACCCTTTTTGGTCTGTTTTCAACCAGACTAAACATATACTATACAAATTTTCCAATATTCTTATTTTAGTTTCGTAAACAGATCTTATTCGAATGAATGATTAGCGTGTAACGGGTCTTTTAATTGATTACATAAGCAACATAAAAGTTGCAGTCATTGACCAAAAGGTCTGGCTTTCCATGGAAATTCTTATTCTAACAAAAAACCGCCAAATCTTATAAGCATTAGTATTATTAACATAATGAGTTTCTAACCACACCAGATTTTAATATTTATATGATATTAATAATTAAAATTCGACAGATATCAAAAGAGTTTTATAATCAAATTTTGAAAAAAAAAAACATTATCATAAATCTTTCAAAAAAATAAACTTTCACATTTCCTCTCTTCTTTTTTTTTCCTATTTTTCTTAAGAGAGAGAGAGAGACTCATGTGATATAATACAACTTCTCTATCTCGCGCGATAATTTTGAATTTTCAAGCGTGTCGTTAATGGGCCGATTATAGCGGGCCAAATTGGGCCTTATATATAGAAATCGCATCTCGAATTTTATTCGCACCAACCAAAACAAAATAGACGACTCGTGGATGATGATGACTCCTTCCTTACTCTTCTTCTTCGCTGCATAATCTCACTTCTTCTCCTTCTCCATCGGAGCTACATCAATCCAAACCAAAACCGTAAGCTCCCAATAAAATCGATTTCAATTTCCTTAAAAATTCACAATTTTGAAAAATTGAGTATTAATTTTAGGGTTTGAGATATAGTTAAATTACTGTAGAGAATCGAATATGATGATTGATATTTTAGGGTTTTGTTGTTTTAATCAAAGAAGAGAGAGATGTCAAACTATCCAAGGATCACATGTGTATCTTCATCCCATCAGAATCTTGTGGAGAAGCTAAAGCAACTCCAGGAGAGATTCTCCCATCTCCAAGCTGCTAGAAAGGAAGGGAGGCTTGGTGATCACGCTTTCTTGGAAGCTCAGATCTCTCAGAATCTCCGTGAGTGGGAAGCTGAACTAACCGCTCCTTCTCCTGAAGCTTCTCTTTTGGTTAGTAACTTGTTGGTTGTGTCCAAGTCTTGGACTTTAGTGGATTATAGCTTTCGTTGAAGGAGAAAGGTTCGTTCTTGGTTTTGTGATGTGTGTCAGGGTGAAAGTATTAGTAATTTCTCTGAGGAGATAGCTCGTTTGTTGAAGCTAAATGACGAAGAGGATGATGCAACTAGTTCTTTGAAGGAGCAGGACGTTGCTGCGCCGAAGGCTGACGGTTTTGATCAAAGGTTGTGTCTTTCGGAAGATTTGGAATGGATAGATGAGCCTTTTTGTCAGAGTCCTTTCAACGTTGATTTCTCTAGTGGTTTTGAGGTGAGCTAACTTCTGTTTTAGCCTTTGTTTTCTGTGTCAGATTGATAGTGATTATCTGTTATAAGGATTTTATCCAAAGTGTCTTCTACAAGTAACACTATTGATTCTTTATTCTGTTTGATCTTTGTTCATTCAAAATTGTTTCTTACTGTTCATCTTTTCTGTCTCAGGATGCTGTTAATAACACCATTGAGTCTATATTCTATTTGATCTTCGTTCATCTTTTCTATCTCAGGAAGCTGTTAATAACACCCAACAACATGACCAGCAACTCCATTTTGCATTTCAAGAGTTTGATCCAAGGATAAACACCACTCCTGATTTCCATGGCCAGAAACTCAGCAACTTGGATATAACTTCTCAGTTGGATTACCATCTCTCAGAAGTGCGCCAGGAATTCAACAACAGCAACCCTTCCGTTAAGCTTGACGCGTCTGAAAACTATACTGAATTTACTACTCCATCAAGTGTCCCCGCGCCTCCTCCTCCTCCTTCTGCATTTTTGGGACCAAAGTGTGCACTATGGGATTGCACAAGGCCTGCTCACGGATCTGACTGGTACCAAGACTACTGCAGTGACTACCATTGTAATCTAGCTTTGAATGAAGATTCCTCTGGCGCAGAACCTGTTTTAAGACCAGGAGGGATTAGTTTGAAAGATAATCTCTTGATTGATGCTCTTCGTGCAAAGACTCTTGGTAAGAATGTCGGAATCCCAGTGTGTAAAGGAGCTGTTAACACAAAATGCCCATGGAACGCAGCAGGTAAGAGGCCATATGCACATTGCCCCTTCCCTCTCCGTTTTAGTGCAACATTTTATTGTCTCCTAACCCCTTTTGTTACTGTTTATACTTGCAGAGCTATTTCATCTTGACCTGGTCGAGTGTGAAACGATTACAGAATGGCTATTCTTCGACCAACCGAGAAGAGCATATGATAGTGGAAACCGAAAGCAAAGATCACTCCCAGATTACAGCGGAAGAGGGTGGCATGAATCAAGAAAACAGCTGATGAAAGAGCAAGAAGGCCAGAAGAGATCTTACTATATGGATCCACAACCTCCTGGTCTCTTCGAGTGGCATCTCTTTGAGTACCAAATTAACGAATCCGATGAATATGCCTTATATCGACTAGAGCGCAAACTAACAAATGGAAAGAAGAGTCATAAGGGAAGAGTTGCAAATGACCCTCTTGCTGATCTGCAGAAGAAGATGGAGAAGATGGGACAGTTAACACCTGAGGTGGCTTCAGACAAACCCTCTCCTCCTACCAAAGGGCGTACAAAGTCTACCAAAGGAGTTTAGTCAGCAGCTAAAGACACTGATGACTCAAACAATCATACAAACGAGCCATCATCAAATCAGTGCTGGTTTTCAGTCTCTGCTTTTATCTGACTACAAGTTAACCTCTTTGATGGTTTGTGTTAACAGGGAGAAGAGTCTGATCTTTGCCCCTTTTTTTACTTGAGAATCTGAAATGGTTTTTAAATTCTTTTAGCTTCGTTTTGTTTACTCCTCTAAAGCCATTAGGATTTTGTAAAAAAAAAAGTTTATAACTCTACTGTCATGTTTCTGCATTCCAAAATGGTTCTGCGTCACTTCCCTTATCTAAACTCAGATGAAGTCAAGTTGCAAAGAGATGATCTCACAAGCAATTGGTTCTGCATCTTTGTGCAGCTCTGATATTTAACTCTCTAAAAAGGCATGAATATTACTTAGCTTTGTATCAGTATTTATCTTTTGACTAACATATATATATATATATATATATATATATATATATATATATATTTTGTTCATATTACATATCAAAAAAATATACACAAGTTTTGTAGTACAAAAATAAAGGAGGATGGTATAAAAACTTTATGTATGATTTATATGTATTTTCTATGTGGACTCAAGTTCCACTGCATGTTCTTGGCCAACACAAGAATGGTTGATCCTGTTCCAAGATCTTTCTCTTGTCAAGATTCTCCTAAACGAGTCTAGTCGTAAAACCGACGAAGAGTTCAGCCTGGCTTCCTCCAACGGTGGCGCAGTTGGTGGTGAGACAACGTCTCCAACTGGTCCTTCTCTTGGCTCAGGCTCAAGTCTCGGCCTCGGCTGAACTTCATTCCGACAAACAGGACATGTTGAGCAAGTGGAGAGCCACGTGTCAACACAAACAACATGAAAAACATGTCTACAGTTAGGCAACTCTCTTGCCGTGTCTTGCTCTTCCAACACGCTAAGACACACCGCACATTCAGTAGTGTCACCGATGGCTCCAACGGTGAAAATAGGGAGAGAAGCGATGACTGTTGAGTCTAGGCCACGTTTTGGCGTTTGGAAAGGGTGGCGTAATAGGACGGGGAGGCCACGAAAGCTAGCTTCTCTACGGCGATGGAGAACGAATCTTGCGTATAGATGAAGAGTGAAGATGATGAGGATAACTGCTGATGAAGAGATGACTGCTGCGAGCATGATCTTGCTGGTGGGATCGTAATGAGAAGGGTTTGGCCAGAACGAGTGGTCGTCGTGACCGTTGGGCCATGTATGATCTATGTCGTTGGAGCTCATTGTAATGAAGGGAAATGTGAACAAAAGTTCTTAATAGCTTCTCATTTATTATATAAGAAATAAAGGAGTTTAAATTTCTTTTTATTGCAATGTCTTGTTCCTAGGTTCATCATACTTTAGTATTTGTGGGTGGAGAAAAATATTAAGTAGACTGTAGATAGAATTAGAAAAGAAGTAAATTCACCAATGTTGACTGACCTTGGATTGTGGAAACACTGAATTTTTCAAGAACCAAAAAAAGGTTCATACACTGTGTTATTCAACTTTTTAATGTTATTAATCTTACAACTTTTTGATGTTTGTTTAAAGAATAATATTTAGGGACAAGTAATCACATATGAAATCTTTGATTTCATGCACAAATTGGTACATTTAGTAAATAGAGATTGCATTCACTAAATTTTTAGAAATCATAAGAAAAATTCTTTTCTGGTCAACAAAAATGAAAATTCAGTTAAATCTCAATATATGACTAGAAATAAATGTAAAATGTCCATGGTCAGGAAAACAAGAAAAATTAAAGCTAAAAACGTGTGAGGAGGGTGGGAAGGTAACCATATAGTTTGACTCGATGAAGAGTCTTCTATGTATACACACTTTGAAAATAATTACAAGCTCAACACATTTTCTTCTTCTTTTTTCGTACGTTAATCAACAATGGATTTGTCCTATAATGTGTATTTCATACAATAGTAATATACAAAATTATTTACACATTACAAAATATTTGATAAGAAAATTATGAAGTAACAAGATTACTATTTTACATGAATTAAAGATTAACTATCGTGGTATGTGTATCTAATTTAGTCATTGTCTTTCTATGTCCAACCCACGATCTTGGTCAACGTGAGAATGATCGTTTCTGTTTACCACGATCTTGGTAAACGTAAACGATGACCCTCCAGTTTTGTTATCGGACGAAGATGCACCGTCTCCAACAGGCCCTTCTCTTGGCTCAGGCACAAGCCTTTGACTCGGCTCGACTTCAGTTCGACAAATGGGACAAGTGGAACATGTGGCGAGCCACGTGTCAACACATGTTACGTGGAACACATGCTTGCAGTTCGGTAACATCCTCGCCATATCTTTCTCTTCCAACAAACTTAGACACACCGCACACTCCGTGGGCGAGACGTCATGACTGTTGACTCTGACCACGAATGCAGGGAGAGAAGCAATGACGAGTTTGTCGAGACCACGTTTGGGTGGTTGAGACACGACGGTGAAGGAGAGGCCTTGGAAGGTAGGTCTACGGCGGTGGAGAATGAATCTTGTGTATAGATGATAAACGAAGACCATGAGGATAATTGTAGAGAAAGAAACGATGGTGGAGAGTAAGATCTTGCTACTGCCATCATAAGAAGTTGTGTTTTGCCAGAACGAACGGTCGAAATGATCACCATCTCTATTGTCAGAGCTCATGTTAATAACAATATAATGAGGAGATTGAATAGATCTTACTTGTGTAATTAAAATGTATTTATGTAGAATTTCTGATGATTTTCTGACTTTGTTATTTTATTCTACAAAACATTAGAATATGTTTGGTGGTTGTGTAAAAAAAGGTTTTTATCAATCAACATTGTTGACTTTACTCGCATTTGTTTTTTTTAACTTAAGAAATTCTAAGCAAGTTTGTGAAATTTAGTTAGGGATTGAAATGGACACGTAACATGTCGACATAATATGAGAATTATAATACAAAAGTAATACAATTTTTCCAATACTACGACGAGTACATGTAAAATTGAGCATAGTCAAGAATAGTACGACCATATGGCTTGACTTGGATAATGTATTACAAGTTGCGAGCGAATACATACTACATTCAACTTTCTCTTTTATATTTTTATACGTTAACTTATATATTCTTTGGAAGAAAAGGTCACCATATTTTATTTTCAAATCATTTTTGAAGAAACATTTTTAGAGCATATTATATAGTATTGTTTTATATAATTGAAGATATAACCTTTTCCCGTATATCTCTGGCTTTAGGCTTCATATTACAAGAACCGCTATGAAATAGCAAGTACTAGGTGTAAATAATAGCATTTTCATATATGAAGGTAACTGAATGAATTAGTTATGATAGTTTAGCAAATTAATAAATTTCTTTTCAGGCTGTTATCAGTATGAATGTAGCTTCTCTACCGCGATGGAGAACGAATCTTGCGTAGAGATGAAGAAGATAACTGCTGATGAAGAGATGACAGCTACGAGCATGATCTTGCTGCTGGGGTCGTAGGGTTTGGCCAGAACGAGTGGTGGTCATTACCGTTGGGCATGGTTGATCTCTATCGTTGGAGCTTATTGTAAAGAAGGGAAGTGAACAAAAGTTTTTAATAACTTCTGATGTGTTATAGAAGAAATAGAGAACTTATAAAATTTTCTTAATATCCATGTAGACATAATCAGAAAAGTAGAAAATTCACCAACGTTGACTGAACTTAGATTGTAGAAACAATAGAGCCTAAAAAAAAGTTAATATACTTTATCTAGTATTCAACTTTCAAATGTTATTAGTTTCCAACCTTTTCATATATTAATCTTTAATTTTTTATGTTTGATTAAAGAACAATATTTAGGAACCAGTAAACACATTTGTCATCTTTAACATCATGCATTACAAATTAGTACAGTTACTTAAATAGAGATTGCATTCACTTTTTTTTTTTTTTGTAGTAATGATAGGACAAGTTTTTATTCTGTTCAACAAAAAGTGACAATTCAGTTAAATCTCAATATATCACCAAAATAATGTAAAAAATTAAAGCTAAAAAAGTGTGAGGAGGTAATGTTTGGGAAGGGAACCATATAGTTTGACTTGATGAAGAGTCTTCGATATAGACACACTTTCCGAAACTATATTACAAGAATGTCTGAATTGTGTATAATTCAACACTTTTTTCCTCTTCTTTTTTCACACGTTAATAAAATTTCTACAGAAATATACAACAGATTTACACATTACAAAATATTTTATTAAGACGACAAAAATTATAAAGGAACAATATTACATGAATCAAAGATTAATTATTGTGGTATGTGTATCTAATCTATCCATTGTCTTTCGATGTCCAATACACGTTCTTGGTCAACGTGAGAATGATCGCCCCTGCTTGAAGATCTTTCCCTTGTTAACATCCTCCTAAACGATGCCCCGCTACTTTTGTTGTCCGACGAAGATGCACCTACACCATTAGGCCCTTCTCTTGGCTCAGGCAAAAGCCCTTGACTCGGCTCAACTTCAGTCCGACAAATGGGACACGTGGAACACGAGGTAAGCCATGTGTCAACGCATGTCACGTGGAAAACATGCTTGCAGTTCGGTAACATCCTCGCTGTATCTTTCTCCTCAAACGAGCTTAGACACACCGCACATTCCGTGGTCGAGACGTCATCACCGCCGTTGACTACGAATGTAGGGAGAGAAGCAATGATGACTTTCTCGAGGCCACGTTGCGGTGGCTGAGATGTGACGGAGAAGGTGAGGCCTTGGAAGGCGGGTCTACGGCGGTGGAGAACAAACCTTGCGTATAGATGGTAACCGAAGAAGATGACGGTAATAATACAGAAAGAAACGCTGGTGAGGAGTAAGATCTTGCTGCTTCCATTGGTAGAAGTCGTCTTTTGCCAGAACGAACGGTCGAAATGATCATCATCTATGTTGTCTGAGCTCATGATGAACCTTTGTATCGATGAGTAAGCAAGAATTGGGACGACAACAGAAGTAGGGGTAGCTATAAGTTAATTACAAGTAATGAGGAGATTGAAGAAGTCTTAGTTGTGTAATTAAAATGTATTTATGTAAAACTCTAATGATTTTGTGACCAAAGCATTATATAATACGAGGCAGTACTACAGAACCTATATTATACTCACACGGATCCAGGGGACATTGTTGACTTTACTCGGATTTATTTTTTTTAACTTAAGAAATTCTAAGCAATTTTATGAATTTTAGCTTAGGATTGCAATGGATACGTAGCATGTCGACATAATATGAGAATTATAATTCAAAAATAATACATTTTTCCAATAGTATGACGAGTGAGTAGATGCAAAATTGAGCATAGTCAAGAACATTTATAAAGGTTATAACGTGAGGTTTGAAGTGAGGCTGCGTGTGGGAAGTGGGAACATATGGTTTTGACTGAAGAAAGTAGACAAACATGTTAGAGCATGTAAATCAATGAACCCCTCTTGGGGTTCATCTTTAAAATATTTTATTATTTTTTTTTTGTCAGATTTTAAAAAAAAAAGTAAAAAAAAAATTAATTGAACCAATCCCCTTCCGACACGTGGTGAACTCCACCCTCTTGGGGTTCACCGGGATGAACTTTTGGAGAGAGAAGTTCATCACTGTTCATCTAGAAAACTGTGTGAACCCCCTTATAAACCTCTTATGAACCCTCAATGTACATACTCTTAATGTATTGCGAATATATATATTAAATTCAACTCTCTCTCCTAATTCTTCTCATACGCTAACAGCTTATGTATTCCTTGGAGGAGAAGGTTATTATATTTTACAGGGCCGTTTCGATGCTTTAATGGGCCATAGACCAATTTTTAGTCTGTAAAAATAATTAACATAAATCTGCAAAAAAAAAACTTAATCAATTAACATAAATTTATAAGGAAAGCCCTAAAATTTTGTAATTTTATTAACTTTTAACTAAATTGTGTTATTAAAATTTTGGACCCTGAGCAAGTGCACCACTTGCACATGGCCTTAGACGGGCCTGAATTATTTTATCTTCAAAACCTATAGGTCCTATACTGTATTATTGTTTCCATATAATAATTACGTAGAAATGATTGAAGATATAACTTTCCCCGTATAAGAATATATTTGTTTTTTACCAAAAAATAAAGAATATATTTGTAGTGCAAAGAGATGTTTCCATATAAATAATTTATAACATGAATGTTTCGCGGTAAAGACATCACGACAGGAAAGTAAGTACGCCTGTTGCTGTTTGACTTTTCTAAGAAAATGCTTTGAAATAGTCAACAAAAGAAGCCAAGACTTGAAAAGGAGGTTGCAGACGCTTTAACATTGCATTCTCAATGAGTGTATCATCTACAAAGATATGATATTAACATCTTCTTGGATGGGGAAGGGACGGCTAAGCTAAGTGGGTTCAACAACTCTGTTTTGATTCCAGAAGAAGAAAATTTTGTTGAAGATTTGGTTGTAGAAGGAACTTTTGGGTACCTTGATCACAACTATATGGCTACAGGGATAGTGACAGAGAACACTGATGTCCATGGCTTTGGAACATTCATGTTTACTCTTTTGCCTGCATTGCAACCAAGTCTTGTTGTCAAACTGTTGAAGATGGTGGATTCGTTGGGATTGTTGATCCAAAGGTGGAGAGCTGCAAGGAGGAAGAGATAATGGCAGTTTAAAAACTTTCTTTATACTCTCACTGCGATGCTCTGGGTGTGTAGGAGAAGTTCCAAAGATGATTGAAGTTGCTAAAGAACTTAAAAGGATGCTTGTTTAAGCATATAACAGTATCATCTTTTCCCTTAGATCACCCTTGAAAAATTACATAAAGCTATTACAATAACTCCCTTCTTTATAAAGAGTATCTATGTAACAACAGAAGCTCTCCACATCACTGCTTACTAAGCCCACACTTGACGAAGAAGCTTGTATCTTGCATTTGAGGTCGCAGAATCATTAAACTCACTCGTTTTGTCGACAATAGATGTAAGAGGAGAGTCCAGTTCCTCAAGCTCCTCATCACTCGTGTACCCTTTCCTCTGTATCATAGACACATTCCTTGACAACTTTCCTCCAGCCTCTGCAACTTTTTCTGCTACATCCATGCTCGATGGAGGCTTGTAAGTAACAGAAGAAGCTGCATAAGGGAAGCTTGCTTCTTCAGTTACATTCCCATCACCATTGCTCTGCATATATAGCAACAAACAAATGATAAGATGTTTCACTTATATGAGAAGAGACTACTTGAAATTGATTGTACCTCGGCAGCATTGAGTTCTTCTAGGACAGCTCCAGGTACATGATCTGGACAGAACTCATCAGGAGTGAAGTTGCATAGTATTCTCTTGATAAGTGGAAGAGTGATTGATGGACATACCTGTTTGTCAAAAAATAAACAATAAATCAATGACAAAACTTCATGAATGTAATGGGGCTTAAACCAAGAACATACCTCTTCTCTAATGGAACTTTCCATAAGCATGTCTTTTGGTAGCATAAGAAGATCACTAAGCTCATTTAACAAAACAAATGCTTTACTATCACTGCCTTCACTTTCATGATGATTATCTTCACTGTTTCTTTTCTCTTTTGCTAATGAATCATCTGAGTTCATACCGAACATTTCAGTGAGGGATCTAGACCAGTTACCAATCTGCAATGGGATTACTCATCATTATTGGAACTGTCTAATGCTATGAAAGAAAATGAACTTTGTTTTGTTTTGGTTACCGCGTTTTTAAGTTGAGCTCCTGATCCAAAGCTTAAGTCTCCAGCAGGAATAGGAAGAACTTTGGTATCAAGAATAGGATCAGAGACAGGATCTGTTGGTATCTGATGTTCTGACTCACGTAGAATAGCATTGAACATTGCTACATCAAATCTACCAACACACTTCTCCATGACCATTCTAGCCAAAACAGGTAAGCAGCCACATTCATGTCCAGCGCCTCTCATAGGACAAAGCCGTTGCAGAGCATCTCCAAAAGCATTTTTCCATAGGCTAATAGAAAAGGTTCCTTGCTTCTCATTCGATTTAGAAGCTGATGAGTTGTTCTCAGGGGATTGCATATGAGGAGTAAAGACCTTAAAGATAGGAGAACAACAACAAGTGTGAGATATTACATACACAGGCTTAGAAGAAGCTCAATCTTTGTGTTTATACCTGCCACCAAACAGACTCAACGATTCTAGAGAAGACCCAAAGCTCAACTTTCTCAAGTGCAGCAGTGAAAGTCTCAGTCTCTTGCCAATCCTCAAGAAGCTCTTGCAAACCATTCTTCCATCTCAAGTTTGTTTTCTTCCCTGAATCACTATTCTCACTCCCATTAGCTTCAGAGCTCTCCGTGACACGAGACTTACCAAACGCTTGTGAAATGATCTCCCTTAGAGTTATGATGTTTGACAACCAAAAGGTCAACCTAAAGAGTAGAGAGAAAACAAAAATCAAGATCCTGAAATTTTCACTCACTCACATGTTAAAAACATTAAGTTTTTTGCTTTTACCTTGAAACATCATTCCCACAAGATCTAGCAACCAAAACAAGACCAGAAACAGAGTTTCTAGCGATGGTAGCACGCTTTCCTCTAGTGAAATGCTTACAAGCATGAATGTAGATTCTAGAGATACGCCTAGCAGGGGTATGAATCTTGTGAGCTGAGCTGCAATGGTCAGGGACAACAGAGTAAAGAGAAATCTCGAGTGAAGCAACTTCTCTAAGCTCCTCTTCAAGTCTCTCGATTCTCGTCTCAAGATACTCAATCTTCTCTTTCAAAGATCCATCCTCACCATTATTCTCTGTCACATCAGGGGACTCGTTCTCGCTTCCAGCACTCAGAGCACCATTAGAAGCATCTTCCCAGACATCAGCATTGTTACCTTCACGAGCATCTTTAACTTCTTGTTCATAATCAGCATCTTTCTCTTTTCTTAAAGTTACATCATCCAAGTAACGAACATCTACTGTCTCGTAAGCCTCGGAAGGATCTGATTGTGTGGTTGAATCACTAGCTACTGTTGAGAGATTGTGAGACTCTACTACGTCCTTTTGTTTCTCTTGTTCTAACAACTTTTTCTGGCTACTTGTCTTCTGCAGCTTCTGATCTTTTCTTCCACTCTTGGTAGATCTCTTAGACTGGACATTAGTGATTGTTCTTGCCTTCATCATCAAGCTCTTACGACGCAGTCAAAGCAACAGTTTACTTTCAAGTTCCAAGTGAGAAACACAATCAAAGAAGATCTGTGTATCCCTACAGAGAAAAAATTGTGATAAGCCATAAAGAGATGAGCTAAAGGATTAAAAAGCCACAGCTGTATATGTTCAGGTTACTGAAAACGACAGCACATAATGGAGGAAGAAAAGGACATGATCAGACTTGCTATGTTTTGTCATTAATCTAGAGTATAGGTCCCCAACAAGTTGTTCGTAGTTGTTAAGACAGAACATGGCTGGATTCACTATATCTAAGTGGTTTACTAGAATAATCAGATTTAACAAGAATGATTAAAACTAATCAGATTTAATAAAATCGAACTTCCTGAAGTAAACAGAGAGCAAAACAGAGCATGAAACACAAAGAGAATACCAGTGACTGAAATCTCTACAACACAGCAAAAGGAGAGAAAGACTTTGGGAGGTTGGCTTCCTCGGTTACTTTAATCTACTGACAGTGAAGTCTACTTTTAGATTTGCGTCACTGAGATTAGCTGTCTCTTATCTGTAATCCATAATAAAGAATATCACTATGGGAGAGCCGAGTGCAACGGTGCATTTAAGAAAGAGAAAAACATGGACTGTGTACGGAACGTACAGTGACAATGGTCATGAATCCGGGAGGTTGTGTTGGTGGCTTGAGTGTTCACTGGAAATAGCCGGTCATGTTACCCGGAAAAAGTAGCTTCTCTTTTTTAAAATGAGTGCGCTTTTCTCTTTAGTCCAAAACATCTCACTGACTCCACCGACACCGACATCAAATAGTGTTGTTGAATTGGAATTTATGAAAGAAACCGTGTCTGACATACAAAGAAAAATGGATAAGAAGACAAAAGTTCTTCACATGGTTTTACACTGGACTCTTCATGGGTCTCCAATAAAAAAGACATGTGAGGGTGTCTTGTTTCATTGATATACCAAAGCCTAAATCGTGTGTCAGTGTTGATCATATTTTCGAGAGACTCAAATCATACTCTCGGGAGAGACGCATACACAGAGGGAAGGAATGGTTTAAATAGCTCTCCCACGGCGAAACAGAAAACAACTAGTCTATAATCTCTTTCATTTTGTTTAATCCATCATTTATGAAAACAGAGGAAGAGACGAAACTCGCTAAAAACTGAACACGGCATTGAACCACACTTAAGGAAACTAATCACAAGATTTGGGAAACACGAGTAACACTCCTAGAAATGGCATTACTTGTAAAGCTACCATGATTTCTAAACGTTATCAGCCCAACATTGAGTAACGTTCGCCTCAACTCCAACTTGCAATTTGTTCAAGTAAATGATCATGCTCCTTGATTGATACCGATTTTATCAGTTCCCCCAAGCATGCAAACAACTATCTCCAAAGCTCAAAAATCATCCTTCTCATGCTATTCTCAATCCAGAGTATCTGCTAAAATGCTCACAATTAATATCCTCACGTCCTAATACGATACTATATCACCCATTACTGAACTGTTCAAACATCAAAACACTGATGAGCAGTAAGATCCTAGTATACCACAACTGAAGATACTGAAAACTAGTGTTTTGAATCTAACAAAGGCTGATGTCATGTGAACTCTACTCTAACCATTATCATACTATTCAAGCATCCAACACTGATGCAATGAGCAGTAAAATACTAGTAAATACCACTGAAGATACTAAAATCCAGTGTTCTGAAACAAAGGCTGATGATGTGATGAGACTCTAGTCCTCGCATGACCAAATTATCTAAGCCTCCAACACTGATGCAATGAGCAGTAAAAGCCTCAATCATATACCATAGCTAATATCTGCACTAATGAGACTTCTTGAAGCATGCCACTGTCTACTCACCAGAGGGGCATTCCTTCACCTAGTTACAGCTATACTACCAGTCTCTGACTACAGAATTGGCCTTCCTTAACTAGCTCTGAACTTGAATCTAAAACTTGAACAATCAAATAGACCAATCGAATCATTCAGCGCAAAGACCAATCAAATTGCATATGATGATCAAAAGCGATCAACTTTGTCAATGTAACGATAAAGTAAATAGTAAGTGAAGTGCGTCATAAACAGTTTTTTAAAAACACTTATTTCATCTTCAACAATCATTATCAAAAAAAAAAAAAAAAATACTCATTCGATATCCACCATCCATTGAATCAAAGCATTCACACTCAATCGGAAGATTCTCCAACGAGCCTCTCCATCTCGATCCGTTCCAGGGCCTTCTGATGAGCCCAAGTCTCGATCGAAAGATCAGGTTTCGCATTGAGTCCAACACCGAGGATGACGATCGTGAGGAAGCTCGTGATGTAGCAAGGAAGCTCCCAATCCTCCCATTTCCGCGACTGTCCAGGCGGAGGAGGAGTACGGTTCATGAAGAAGCCCTTGGGACGCTCCTCGTGACCCGGCGTCGCCCATCGACTCGCGCCGGCGGATGTGGATCCGGATCTGGAGAAGATCCGGTTTCGTAGGGAGGTCGCTGCGACGGTTAAGGACTTCGTCGACGGAGGCATCGCTGTGGTGTGACGAAATGGGAATCTATTCGGTTTGTTTTAGTGTTTCGGGTAGATGCCAAATTCGGTTTAATTGGGGGGGAGTTTATCCGGTTCGGTTTATTTCTTGGTTTCGGTTTTTGGTTTATTTCGCGGTTTGATAGATTTAGAAACCAAATCTAACACTATTAGAGCAAGATTATTGCTCGGTTTTAACACGTCTCTTAGTGATGGGGATCCACACATTTGCTAAAACCCATAACAAAAATCCCCAGATTAAGAAACAATTATGTGCGTTTTTTACCCTGTTTTGTGGGCCCCACGACACGTGGCGGCCCACGATTGATCATTTTTAAATAATAAAATAAAAAAACAAAAACTAAAAAAATTAAGAAACTTTGGCGATAATGATGCCCTTAGAGCACACCATTGGAGTCTGCTTAGAATAAAACAATGTTTTAAAAAAAAAATAGTTAAGGATTTTAATTATAGGTGGATGTTCAATGGTGTTATTCGATATAGTTTTTAATTTTTTTTAGTTTTTGAATTGAATCTTAGAAATTTAAAATTATTAAATTTGTAAAATATTTAAATTTAAATTTTTTATTTAATGAATGATTGAATGAGCAAAACCATATACCTTATTTCATGATATTTCTGATCCGGGCAACGTTTTCTAGTCTCATCCATGAGTGAGAAGTAGGAGTGAAAGCAGACATCTCTAAAGTCACGGACAAACAGTCATGAAGCTGCGTTAGACGGTGCTCCAAGTTCCATCATAAAAGCAATGGAGAAGTTGGGAAGGCTTGCGGCTTGCCCTCGCCAACAGCATCAAAGGTGGCGAAGATTGGGGAGAGAAAACCATATAAAGCTCCTCCAAGAACACTTGCTAAGATAACTTGTGGATGAGATTTCCAACCGTCTCTCGTTTGACACATAAACTTCACAAACTAAGCCATTTCTCAAAACATAAGCTTCACAAACTTCCGGCTCTTTCCCGTTAGCTTCTTGTTTGTTTTCTCGTTTTTGGTGAATCAGCTCAGCCGTATCAGCACAAGGATATTCCAATGAAAGAGTAAAAATCACGCATGCATCAGTTTCAGTTAAACGAACTAAAACCATTCCCATAAGTGATCTAAAAGAAGTTTACTATAACTTATTAGATCCTAAATAAATAAAAGCACATTAGAAGATGGCTACGACGTCTAATCTGTTTTGTTTGGGACTTCATAATCTGATCTTATGTCTCTGATTTCGTCAAGGGTTCTGTTTTCTTTAATTTATTCTCATGGATAGTTTAGACTGATGAACATCAATTCACAAAACAAGTTATCCAACTAAAGTCAATATCCATGTACAGAAGTCACATTCCTCTGGTGAGTAAACTGAATTTTAGGCTGGAAGGAGTAGAAATACATGGAAAGTGGAAAATGTTGATTTGATTTTTGTAAATATTTTTGGAAAAATAAAGTTACTCGGAAATTAGTAAATCTTTTTTGGAAAAAAAAAAATAAAAAAATAATTTTAATAATATAAGGACACGTATCAAACACACAATTGCCAACTGGCTTTTATTTTATTGTATAAAAGATACATTTAAAGTTTTAAATATAATTAAGGTATGCATGTATTTATATAATACCGGAGCGGAGCGGTTATCCGTTTCTCAAAATTTTAATATTTGTGATTTACTTCGATTTTAACGGATATTGATTTTTATTTTTATTTTGCTTCGAAAATTTACAGATATCTAAAATTTTCAGATCAAATCAAAACGAATAACGAATTGAATCAAATTTAACAAATAAAATGTTCAATCCTAAAGAAGATGATGAAATTTAAAACATGATTCATCGAACTTGGCTTAAAACACACAATGTTTAATCTATGATTGAAAGAGATTATACTTTGAACATAAACTTCTTGATTAGTGACGGAAATAAAAGAAAATTGACATATTTTATAATTTATTATTTGTATTCATGACATTGTGACACTGAACGAAATAGATCGTATCTATTTTGAAATCGCGTAGTTGATTGTAGCAATATTTTCAAAATCTTGCATGGGTGTACAATATGAGTATTTTGAAATTGATGTCATTGAATTCAACTAAAGTCACAATGGCATTGTTTGTAACTATTTACGAAAATTGCCTTGGACCTGAAGTCTCCAATGGCGACCATTCGTCTATTTCCGTACCGCTGTGAATAATAACAAATTTTTTTATATATACCCCTCTATCTATATATTTTTTTACTATTTGTATCCTAATTGTTCTGCAGTTATTTTGTAAGTTATCATCAGGAACGTGAGATTAGAGTAGAAATGGCATCGTTCAAATGCATGTTCGCCTGGTGACTTTTGGTCGGTTGGTTAAAAAAATTGATCTGACACGATCAGTCTCTTCCTTCCTTTAATTTGAACTAAAAAAAGGAAGTACATGTATTCATCATACAAAACGTCACCCTTCGTCATAAGATAATCAGTAGGGCTCAAATCGTTTCCATTTTAATTTAACATTTTGCTTTTAGAAGTAATGAACTGATTGATATACAATTAAAAGTAAAATAACTATAGGTTCAGTAGGACTGTACAATAGTTTCATGGCTCAAGATGTCCTACATGTGTTAAGATTCTAACCATTTAAGACAACTAATGCCAAACACAAAAGGGTAACTTAGAAAAATATATTTTTCAGCCAAATGATTGCTTATTAATAGTTATATATAAGATGTATTATGCGTCTTTTTGTAATTGCATATATATAATCTCTTACGTATAAATTCAAACCATTGCAGTTATACACAAACATTTTCATGTACCAACTTAATATTACTTATTTAGCACATGTTGCTCTGTACCATTTCCTTTGAAGATTCACAATCTAAAACTCAAAATATTGTACTAATAGTAAACTATATAGTTAGCCTTTTCCTTGTCTTTTTATCCTATAAATCCAACGATCCTAGTTATCATCAACGCAGACAAATATTTGAACATGAAACAGAATCCCACTTGCATTATTTTATGCAATAGAAAAAACACATAAGAAACCAAAAAGGCAAATCCCAATACTATATAATATATTTAAAACTATAATATACTATTATAATTTCAAAAAACTATAATCATGCGCTCAAGAAATTCAAAATCTGTGATCATGACTACTTTACTCCACGTTGCTACAATGCAACCATAAAAGAATCTTAAAACCTTTTCTTCACTGTTGATTCTCTTTCTTTGCAACTTCTCGTTGCATCACTACACGAATCAAAGAAAAACCTTCTCAAGAAAATGAATCTGCGTTGGATTTTACCACTTCTTGTTTCTTCAATCTCTCTCTGCTGCATGAGCTTTTGCTCTTCTCTCAACTCCGACGGTTTGTCTCTTCTCGCTCTCAAATCCGCCGTGGACAACGACCCGACCGAAGTAATGAACCACTGGTCCGAATCCGACCAAACTCCTTGCCATTGGTCCGGAATCGTCTGTACAAACGGCAGAGTCACAACACTAATACTCTCCCAAAAAAGTCTCTCCGGTTACATCCCATCAGAACTCGGTTTACTCGACTCACTTACCCATCTCGATCTAGCTCACAACAATTTCTCCAAACCGGTACCGGTTCGACTCTTCGAACCAACTAACCTCCAATACATCGATCTCTCCCACAACTCACTCTCCGGTCCAATCCCAGACCAAATCCGGTTCCTTAAATCACTAAACCATCTCGATTTATCATCTAACCGACTCAACGGCTCACTTCCCGAGTCACTCACTGAACTCGGAAGCCTCGCCGGAACTCTAAACCTCTCGTGTAACCGATTCACCGGAGAGATTCCACCTTCGTACGGTCGGTTACCTCTCCACGTCACCTTAGATCTCAGCCACAACAACCTCACCGGAAAAGTACCTCCGGTGGGTTCTCTGTTGAACCAAGGACCGATCGCATTCGCCGGAAACTCTCTTCTCTGTGGCTTCCCGTTACAGAAACCGTGCAAAGACTTCGAGATCCCTAATCTCATCGCTGCTAAGCCGGAAGGAACTCAAGAACTTCAGAAACCAAACCCTAGCGTGATCAGCAAGGAAGAAGGTAAGGAGAAGCAGACCACCGGTTCTGTAACGGTCTCGTTGATCTCAGGAGTCTCTGTCGTCATCGGAGCGGTTTCTCTATCGGTGTGGCTGATTCGGAGAAAACAGAGCTCCGCCGTGTACAAAACAGAGACGGTGGTGACAGAGTTTGATGAAGAAGGGCAAGAAGGTAAATTCGTAGCCTTTGATGAAGGCTTTGAGCTTGATCTTGAGGATTTGTTGAGAGCTTCTGCTTACGTGATGGGCAAGAGCAGGAGCGGGATTGTGTACAGAGTAGTGGCGGCGGAACCGTCCTCCTCCTCGGCAGCCGTTGTCGCCGTTAGAAGGCTCAGCGACGGTAACGCCACGTGGCGGTTTAAGGAGTTTGTTAACGAAGTGGAGAATATCGGTGGGATTAATCACCCAAACATTGTGAGGCTGAGAGCTTATTACTATGCAGAGGACGAGAAGCTTCTTATTACTGATTTCATTAGCAATGGCAGCTTGTACTCTGCTTTGCATGGTAAAACTCTTAATCTTTCTTATAAAGTTTCAAAATTTTAATATTAACTCTGTTACTAAAAACACTTAATTGTCAGTTTTATTTGAACATAACTCTTGAAACTATCTTGTGGGAATCAATGCTCTTTGGTCTGAAAGTGCATAGCTTTTTGTTCTGTGTGTGACTGTGGTGTATAGTGACTAATGTTGGCTTCTTCTACTTGTTTTATTGTTTAAAGCTTTCTTGGTTGACATGTGTTGAAACACGAAACAGAAAATATAGAGGACAAGCATGTGGAATCTCTACATCTGCCAGAAAAAAAAAAAACAGATTTGGTTCTCTATGGAGTTCATGTAAATAGATTAGTGTGGTCCTTTTTTATAACTAAACATAAGTCGCTTAGGTGAAGAAATGGTAGTTTCTAAGAGTGTTAAATGTGGCATAAATGTGATTTTCAGTATGGTACGCTAGTATGCATGTGATATGTTTGATTAATGTAATCATAATATCATCTATTGACTGTGTCATGTGTCGGTTTTTGTTTTTGTAGGTGGGCCTTCGAATACACGAGCTCCACTCTCCTGGGCTGAGAGGTTACACATAGCACAAGGGACTGCTCGGGGTTTGATGTATATACATGAATACAGTTCAAGAAAATATGTACACGGCAACCTAAAATCAAGCAAAATCCTGTTAGATGATGAGTTACTTCCTCACATCTCAGGCTTCGGTCTCACACGTCTAGTTCAGGGTTATCCCAAGCTACCAGATTATTCAGTATCCACCAACGTGCAAAGCTTTGCGACAAGACTCTCAGCTCCTCACCAAGCTGCTTACCTTGCACCCGAAGCTCGAGCTTCTTCTGGTTACAAACCATCTCAGAAATGCGATGTTTATTCCTTTGGTGTGATTCTGTTGGAGTTGTTGACTGGTCGTTTACCTGATGGCTCCTCTGAAAACGAAGGAGAGGAACTCGTTAATGTTGTGAGGAAGTGGCACAGGGAAGAGAGATCATTGACCGAGATCTTAGACCCCAAGCTTTTGAACCAGGAGTTAACTGATAAGCAAGCTATTGCAGCCATTCATGTCGCTTTGAACTGCACGAACATGGATCCAGAGATGCGTCCTAGGATGAAATCTGTGTCTGAGAGTTTAGGAAGAATCAAATAATTATCATGTAGCCAGAACATGTGTATGTTAATTTCAGGCAACAACGTTATGTCATGTAGTTTCTATGGCGAGCTTAAATGAAGGGTTTAGGGTTTTGTTCCGGATCAAGTGTGTCTGTCTTTATTTTATCATCACATGTTCCTTGTGTCTTAAGGAAGAGCGTTTGGTTGTATCATGGGCTTCTTTCTGTCTCGCCATCTAGAATCTTATAATATCATATAAGATGATATGGTAACAATCTGTTTCAAAAATCCACTTTAAAGTATATATTAAAATACATAACATGTTGACTGTACTTGCTTACCTTTGCATAATGGATATATCCTCTCTTCCCCAACAAAAACAATATAATTGTATATATTATTACCAAGTGGTTTCTATTTTATTATATATGTCTTTCAAATTGTTTGTTTTGATTGGTCGAAACTGAGATACCATTTTGATTAGATGTATGAATAAATAAACTATGCTTTTTAGTGGATTTGAACTAATCTACACGTTTGATCAAAAAAAAGTTTGATAAAAAAAGAACTAATTATTAGGAACTAAAGTACCACATCGGTTGTTAGAAGGGATGTCTAACAATATATAAGATAGATGGGTCACTCCACTTATCACTAATTTGTTTTAGGTTAGGAGCCCATTTAACTTAACATGGTATCAGAGTCTACGATTCATGCAATCCAACCCGATCCTTATCGATACAGCCCAAAGTCGGCCCATCGATCTTTACCCAAACATTCCGAGATTGACGCCAAAGATCCATCATCTCAAGGGGGCGTATTAGGGACTAGGAGCCCATCTAACTTAACATTAATCTCTGCTATTAATTTTCTCCTTGTAGCCAAAAAGAAGTTGATAGAAAGAAGAAAAAAACTCAACTGCAAGATTGCATATCACTTGCGCATAATGTCGTTTATACACGCACACCACACATACATGAATCAGAAATGAATTCTTAGCCCATCTTTAGCGTTTACGTTTACGTATGTAGCCGATAGATGTAGCTAATTCGAATATAATTTTTGTCAGACCATCAAACAAGACCACGTCCCACCGTTGGTCTTTTGTTCAAATTCGCAACAAAAGTATATATTACTTTCTTTTATAATACTAAGAGAGACGAAATAAAGAAGAAGAAACTAGAAAGAGAGATCTTTGTATTTCTAGTTTGCATCTTTTGATTCCCAATCGATAAAAATAACACCAGTTGACAAAGAGTGAGAGAGAGAGAGAGAGATCTATCATGACAAAACATATCTCGCACAAGCACGATTGATTTCTTCCAAATATAGCAGCCCACTCGAGAAAATTTAATAAACAAATAGAGAAACACTTGCTTAATATAGAAGTTCCTATTAAAAAAACTAATATAGAGAGGCTCCTTTCTAACTTGTTGACATTATAAAAGCCAAAGCTGGACCACAATTCCCCACTTCTATAATCTTTTTTTTCAGAACATAAATACTTTAAAAAAATTGATGGGGAATCGTTTGTTTTTTATTTATTATTAAAAATACTACAAAACTGCAAATTGATCAAATCTATACAACATAAGAAAGTTAAATGGGGTCTCTCTCACGTGTTCCTATCCACGGACGAGCTTTTCTTATATAGTTTTCTCCTTTTCTTTTGTTTCTTTACCACTTCTTACCAATTTATGAATTGATAATTTCTAAAAAAATTTATCATATATATTTCTTCTTATTATTTTGATGAGTATTAAGTTCTCACATGTTTACGTGTTAATAACTTCGTCTATTACCTATGCTTGAAAGTGATATATAGGTGCATGTGTTTGTGCTTGTGCTTGTGCATACGCAATTTGGATTCTTGTTAATTAACTAAGAAACAGCTCGACATTTAAAAACTGTGTAGCTACTCCAACTCATAGATCTATGTCTCTATCTACCGAGCCCTAGTCACATAAATCGTAGTCCCCATATAACAAAAAAAAATGAAATACGCACTCCACAAAATAATAAACACACAGCCAAGAATTACTATAATTGATAAAAAGGTTTATTTGTGAAATAGCTAAGAGAAAAAGAAAAATTGGTTTTGTAGAAAGAAGGTAGAAAGAGATAGAAAGAAAAAAGAGATGAGAGAATTTTGTTTTGGTTAGTGTCTGAATTTTACTTTTTTTTTGGGTGTTATACAATGCAATTTCTAATTGATAAACATCTAATAGAATTTTAACAAAAAAATCCGAAT